GGGGTAATTCCCACAGTAGGTGGCCAAAAATGCGAATGTATGGGGTGTGGGAATAATGTGGGAAGGTATGAGGAACAATCTATTTTTGAGTGTTGTGAGGAAATTCCCACAGTAGGTGGTCAAAAAAGCGATTATTAGGGGTGCAAGCTTATTATGGGAGTGTCCTGATAGGATCCTCCACTGATGTATCAGCCCTACAAGTGTAGACACCTATGAGCTATTGGAATTATTGTATCCCATTTTATCTATAATTGCAGGAAGTGATACATCAAGTCTACAGGGACAGGTGCTACATGCCCACTTGGCACAGTTCATTGATGACAGGACCATTCACAGTAGGAGGCATTTTTGGGAGCAAGCATTGGTGATGTGCATACAGTTAATGTCTTCAACAGCAATAGATGTTAGCTAGTAGATGACAGTAGCCAATACTAGTCATGTATTTTGTCCAGTTGTTTACTTGATCAAACCAAGTTGAAGTGCTAATGAAGCTTGCAAAGGCAGTAACAGTACTGGACCAATGTGATCAACATTACTTCGATGTGCCTGAAGTGCTCATGCGAGCCATTTCTCACCAGCATTGTGTTTGACCTTTTTTCATCGGTACACATTGAATGGTGTACCATCAACATGCAAAAATCCATCATGCCACTCTTGACATGCACATTCCTCAACCCAGTCCTTCACTCAATCTATCTCAATCTGATCTTTGGCCTCCAGTGGGTTGAAGTGGATGACATCATCATGGTGCTGCAGAATCACAACCATAACATGCCAATAGCAGTTATATACTGTTCTGACCAAAACCCCTGCCCAGTCAGCCATGTGTTCTGTGGTTGCTGCATTTCTGTAGTGGCCAGCAGCATTCAAAAATATTGCCAGCTGAATGGTGACAGGTAGTTGTGGATTATAAGAATTGTTGTAAAAACCAGATGATGGATAATTTTATTGATGAGTTCTACAAACACAAGGACATCCAGGTATCAAAAGAACTTATGGAATCCATGCTGATATTTGATGATAGATCAGAATCAATAGAGCCCAAGTCTAAGACTGAGTTGGAGTCCAACTGAGCTAGACTCATCAGATGGCTCAGGGTCAGATGAGTCATCATCTATTAACATGTTTACTAGCTTGAGGTACCAAGCAAGCTTCAGATTCCTGTTTGTTTCATGAAGGGCCTCTAGTACCATTTTACACTCTGAGATGTGCATCAGGAGGGATGGTAGAGAATAGTACAGGCTTATCAATTATCTATTCCACAATACTGGATACTTTCCATGATAGGATTGATCAGTAACATGTGTGTTTTACGTGGAGCTTGAATATCAATACATGTTCTTGTTTTTGTGAAGTTCCAACATATGCACACCACATACTTTGAAACCCATTATTGTACTTCAGTTGTCACAGTAGGTGAGGATCAGTTCTCTTGTTAGTTTGTGTAGCTCACTGAGTAGTGACTTAAAGTAGAAGATGTTGCATGCCACAGAGGTAGGTGTAATATACTCTGCTTTAGTCATGCAATTGTAAGCTGTTTCCTGGTGCTCCATGTGATTGGTGAGTCATGTAACATTACCACATATCCAGACATTGAATATCTATGTGTTACAAACTAGGATAGTTCTAATGACAGACAACTTGATAAGAGTTAAGACCTCTGCTGAGATTCTACATAAGACAATAAGTCAAGCGTTCAGTGTAAGCTAAGACAGAAGGAGTGCTTCTATCTTAAAGTACGGTTCAGATGACAAGAGATTGGAGGTCTCAAGTGAAGGATGTTTCAGGTAAAACCTAGTAAGATTAAAGTGCAGAACTAAAGCATACAAGAGAACTATTTATAGGGAACTACAAGTGCTTTAGGGCAGATGTGAGAACAGATATGAGTCAGAGATAAAGGACGTGTAAGTGATAGCAAGAATAGGTCATCTAATGATGGCAATGGCAGTCGTGATGTAATACAAGGTATGAGTCAATGATAAGTCTAGTGGTGGCATCATGTGGCTCATGATGTAATACACAGTAAGAGAGAAAATGAATAGGGGCATACATGGTTGTAACACTATGCAGTTGACTTGCCCAATCTGTGTCTACAAATGGTTCTAGCTCTTCATCTGTCTGTCCTAAGGTAAGATGTAAACCCTTTAATTCTTTCATATAGTGAATGTTACTCTTAGTCACTTCCCAGTGTATAAAAGATGGATCCTTCATGAATTATGATAGTATGAATAGGCAAAACATGAAAATTGAAGGGAGAAGAGGAGAAGGAAGACTGTGAAAGAGACAAAGAGACTTATCAAATAGGTAAAATGTGACATCAAAGGAGAAGGTGAGAGCCAGGCTAAAGAGATAGATGAAGAGAGGGTGAGATGGTGAGCCAGGGTGAAGAGAGATGGTGAGCTGGTGAGCTAGAGTGAAGAGAGAGGATCAGAGAAGGGTGTAGAAGACAGAAAGAAAAACTTACCAAGAACCAGAATAAGCAAAAATGCGAAAATTTAAGGGAAACCTTGTTGGAGAGAGAGGGACTCAGGAAGATAGAGTCAAAGTAGGCAAATAGGAAGGAAGGAAAAGACCTAAAGAGAAGAGAATATGTTAGAGAGGGTCACTTGAGAAATAGAGAAATACACTTAGATACATTGAGACACATTAGAAGGCAGAGACTGAAAGGTAAATCCACTTGAATAGAAAAGAGAGCAAGGAAAACATAGGAAAACACTTGTGGTTGACCACAATGTTGCTTATATAAGCAATGTCAAGTAAGACCATATCATGGACTTAAAGAATTTTTGTGTTTTGCTGATTAGCTATGACTTCAAATGTGGGAATTTGTTCATGAAATCCAAAGTCGCAGTCCTTGTCAAGGAGAGTCTATCCATAGTCTCCTGACACCATTAGGATAAGACCTTAGTGAGATATAAGTAACTGACCTAAAAATCATGAACACTTTTGAAGAAAGACTTGGTGAGATGTTTGTATTGTTGCTAGCATTTTTGCTTCTTTGGCTTAGGATTGTAATAGTAAGGATCACATACACCTTCATCAGGATACCTAGTCTTAAAGAATTGCATGAAAAGTTTTATAATTGTCATAACAGTCATAATGGCCATAATGACTACCCTAAGTTGCTGTGAGGACATATCAGGACAAGTCGGGACATATCAACACAAGCAAGGACATAGTTAGGACAAGAGTAAATAGTTGGGGTACATCAGGACACATAGGGACAAGTAGGGACAAGTAGGGACAAGTCAGGACAAGGCAGGACATATTAGAGCAAGTAGGGACCAGTCAGGACATATCAGGACATATTGGGACAAGTAGGGACAAGTCAGGACAAGGTAGGACATATTGGGACAAGTAGGGACAAATCAGGACATACACATCAGGACATGAAGGGACACATCAGAACACATTAGAACAAGTAGGGACATATTAGGACAAGTAGGGACACATCAGGACACATTGGGACACATCAGGACAAGTGGGGACACATTGGGACAGGCTGGGACAAGTAGGGACACATCAGGACAAGTGGGGACACATTGAGACAGGCTGGGACAAGTAGGGACACATCAGGACAAGTGGGGACACATTGAGACAGGCTGGGACAAGTAGGGACACATCAGGACAAGTGGGGACAAGTAGGGACACATCAGGACAGGTGGGGACACATTGGGACAGGCTGGGACAGTAGGATGCCCCGTGCTCCGCGGAGCAGAATATTAGTCTTGACCGTCGTGATCCTTATCCTTGTCTTTTGCTTGTTTTCTTGATTTTTTGCTATCGTAGTCTTGACTATCGTATTCCTTATCCTTATCCTTATGGCCCGGGTCGAATCCTCGTTCAGACTTTGCTTGATTTTGCTTGATTTTTGCATTTTTATCGGAGTAGTTCCCACGGTTGAGTTGCTTTGTTGAACCCTTCGATTTCGAGTATTTTGCTTATAATTCATTAGGATCTTATCCTATTGATGTCATTAGACTATGGATAGACTCCCCTTGACGAGGGCTACGACATTGGTTTTCATCAATTAGTTGATCAGGTATTAGCTTACATAATGTCTTTGTCTTGTCATGGAGTTGAGCCTCCGATGGAACTGTTCCAGTGGAGATCATTGTTGTTGACACCCTGGTACTCTGTGACCCTCCAGTGGAACGGTTCCAGTGGAGATCATTGTTGTCGACACCCTGGTACTCTGTGACCCTCCAGTGGAACGGTTCCAGTGGAGATCATTGTTGTCGACACCCTGGTACTCTGTGACCCTCCAGTGGAACGGTTCCAGTGGAGATCATTGTTGTCGATACCCTGGTACTCTGTGACCCTCCAGTGGAACGGTTCCAGTGGAGATCATTGTTGTCGATACCCTGGTACTCTGTGACCCTCCAGTGGAACGGTTCCAGTGGAGATCATTGTTGTCGATACCCTGGTACTCTGTGACCCTCCAGTGGAACAGTTCCAGTGGAGGATTATATTTGTGAAATGTCTTGAAACGACCCCTTCCTAACCACGACCCATATAGAAAAGTGCTATATAATCAGCAGCGTGATGTATTCTGCGTCTGCGTTGTGCCGGAATACTGCAACATTTAGCTACATGTCCATGCCAAGCCTTATCGATGGCATCCCTGATCGCCCTCCCAGCGCCCTTGGGCAAGGAGCCCAGCCAGCCAGAACACTTCGTAGTAGGAGAGACAAACTTCGTACGCTACACGTCGGCATCAATAATACTATGCAGTGCCGTGCCGTGTCTATGTTCATTGAGCCACTCGATGGTACCTTCGAGACTCCCCTATCCAGACCCTCATTTCTTCTATTAAAAGGCACCCCCGGGTTAGGAGCCAATCCAGCCAGAACACACTTCAGTGGAGTACAATAAGTCGCCGTTACCAGTTCGTGGTACCTATCTCCGCCCAGCACGTATTCACGATTTTCTCCAAGCTTCGGTCTCCGAAGGATTCCTGCTGGTTTCCTTGTGACAGTAAAGGGCGACGGTGCTGAATGTCAGACAAGCAACAAACCTGTGCACATAGATTGGGCTGTTGCATGTCTAATTAGCCTTGCTGACATATAAATCATGAGGTTTGTATGCGCATACTGTGGTAAATATAAACGACTTCTTCAAGGGAAAATAGATTGAACAAGCAAACGTTTTTCAACATGAAACCAAACTGATCGGAATGAATAATAGATAAAATTCATTGCGACAAGCGACGCATCGATAATACAACATAACGCGAATTCATTTCTCTGTCATTTTATTCTGTTGCCGTCCTCGAGAGCTTACAGCTTGCTAGAAGAAAGACCCTCTGTGTACCTCTTTTCAGCCTCCTCAAAGTTGATGACGCTCCAAATGGCATTCAGGTACTAGAAGATGTGATCAATGAACTGTATCTCGCTCTAACGAAGAATAATAACTCACATCAACCTTAACGTTGAGATACTGGAGGTAGAAAGCATGCTCCCAGATGTCAACCCCGATGATAGGGACGTGAGTCAGAAGCGGGTCCTGGTTTGCAGTCGTGGTGATCTCGAGGCGCCTTGTGGAGGGGTTCAAACCCTGAGCATGAAGCGCCGTGAACACTACATCAACCATGTGCAATGAAACAAGAAACTTACGAGCCAGCCCCATCCGGAACCTTGAATACCAGCGGTGGTGGCATTGAACTCCTTCTTGAGCGCATCGAGCGACCCGAAGGTCTGCTCGATGGCCTCCTTAAGAGGACCAGCCTTCAGGGAACCACCGTTACCCTTGCCCTCACTGGAGGCAGGCGCCAGGTTCTTCCAGAAGAGAGAATGGTTGATATGACCTAAGTACGTGTAATGAATAACGTGCGATGAGTCATGATCGATGACGAGCGATAAGATAAGAACACCGATGACGCGATAACTCGCCTGAGTGAAGTATGAAGACTTACCACCACCGTTGAACTTGAGTGCTGCCTGGAGGGCGATGCGCTCCCTGGGGGTGGAGCTTTTTGCGTAGCTAGCCTCGGCAGCATTGAGAGCGTTCACATAGGTTTGATGGTGCTTCTTGTGGTGAAGCTCCATGATCTGCCTCGAGATGAAAGGCTCGAGAGCATCATAGGCGTATGGGAGATCAGGGAGAGTGTGGGCGGACATGATGGCTTCGATGAGACAATGGTGGTGAAGTCAAGAGAGTGGGAAGATTTTAGGAGACTGATATCATCCATTTATCTCAGTTGTCATTTGTTTGCCAACACCGGCGCGCCGCATACGTGCTAGCGGGCATCGCTAGCCCACGGAATGTCATTATATGGTCCTTTGAGCACATCACATGATTACATATACAGATGGGGTCGACTCTGACATCAGATACATCATAAATGTAGTGATATACGAAAGTAATGGAATCATAGGCCAGGATATATATACTCCGATACTTGCACACATACACCATTTAGTCGCCTTCTGTCAATATTCTGACAGCGGGAGGACTTTTCCTACACGCCGGGGTGAATCAGCATTGGCAGAATATGACACGAGGACGTTCAGACATACCAATATTCGCATACGGACTTCTCTTGCGGCGTCCGAGCAGATCGATATCACCACTATCAAAGAACGAATACCCGGCTAAGAATATATCTATTAGTAAGCTTACGAAAAGCTGTGAACAACCAAATGACTCACGCATGGTATCCTCATAGTCGCTCCCCGATTCGTCTGACCCGTAACCATGGCCGTTGATTGGCCGACCAGTCTTGGAGTCACGGAGGATACCAGCATGATCAACAAATGGCGCAGGGCGTTCGTTTGCAGAGCGGTGGAGCTGAATTAAGATTCTCTGAACTTCTAACAGATATCCCTGGAGGGTATCCAGGAATCGACGAGTCTGTAGATGTTTCGATGAAGCGACACTACGGGCGCAGTCGTGAGTGTCAATGACACGTCATTTGATAATAAAATTGTGGCGTACACGCTAATTCCGTTCTCTTTAATGATATACCCAATACCATACCCATCAGCCGCAACAGGCCCGAATCCGAACAGGCGCAATGCAGGATTTCCGCAGTTTGAAGTGGACAAGATAGAGGTACTTAGTAGATTCCAGCCCGGGTCAGCGAAGATCGATGGAAGGACATTGTTCCGGATATTTTCGTTTGGGATCGGGTCGTCGGGAGATGGATCAAGGTTTCCTGTGACCTGACGCTGATGCAAGCAGTATAATGCATATAGGTGTCTACAGCAAGCCATCAATACTGAAATCGGGTACAGCTAACAGGATAACCGACCGGTCTTGGCCAAAGCCCTGGCTGCACTCCTTCGTAAGTTGTACGTGTCGCTCACAGGCCTTGCGCAATTTATGGATCTTCTCATCAGGCGAACACTCCGAGAAAAATGTCTAAATAGACGAATGGAAACCAATAAGGAAGAAGGGCCCGATGATCACGTGGGCGCTTACCTTCGTGAACTCGACACTCTCTGGTTGCACTGTCCGGATTGCTTCAGTCCTCCCGTGAAGGAAGGCCTTCGTCATCGCAGGTTCATAAGTACATTCCGTTCTCCCTATCACCGCGTCAGCATAAGGTTTCGGAATCTCTGAAGAGCGCATCCTAACCATAGAGTCCGAAGTATGCCGCCTGGAAAGCCATCTGCACGAACGCATCGGGGCTGAAACCATGACTCGTAATGAAATTCTTTCCATAACCTTTGAACTCGAGCGCCTGACAATCATTCTGACATATAAGGTCACTCAGCCGCGTCTCAGCATATCGGATGCCGACTCGAATTGAGGGAGTCAGGGTCCATATGAGCTTAGAGGGTGTGGTATCGTATGAGAAACTTTGAGAAGTTATTGGCAATTTGCCGTTAGCTATGGACTTGGGGGGCTTGTAGGATTTGGCGTGCGGGGAAAGGGACGCGTGGAACAGCGTGGGTGCAGAGGGATTGATTGAACGCGCAAGCAGCATTAGGCCTTCAGTGAAGACATCTGCGGCAAACCTGATGGTAACATGAACATATAAGAAAACAAGTTTGAGGCGCCTGGGAGGTACCTCAAAACTGTGTGGCCGTCAACGCCGGTATGTTCAAAATTAATGCCGGCGGCACCGTCCGCACACACGATGATTTGTAGCTTAAATTGAATAACAAATGAAATAAATTACCAACAAACATCGTGAACGCTGACTCACCTTGTCATACCACCGGTTAGTGCACGTGCCAACCTGCACACCTTCTCGCAGGTCATAAGTTCCACAGAGGAAATTACTACATAGAGCAGCAAGGTCCTCTCCCTTTTCGCCGTTTCGAACAAGCGCGCCAATACCATCGCGACCTGGGGATGCATCATCCAAGCAGACAACGAACAAGGCATCGTCGACCAGGCGTAGGCACGCTGCATTTGTCTTGTCCTGGGCGAGTTCATGTCGAAGAGAAGACCAAGTCTTCCGATTCTCAGTCGTGAGAACACCAATAGCCGTACGAGCAACCTTTATGAGCCATGATTAGAGGGAGTAGGTAAGTGTTGTTCAATAAGTCCTGACCTCAGTAATCGGGGTCTTGTCAGCGTCCTTGCAGATGGCCTGGAGGTTGCGAAGAACCTCGCGCTCTGTTAACAGTGGTCGGTTGTCCTCATCAAGGGCATCAAACCAATCTAGTGAGATATTAGCAGCTGAATGCATGGGCTAGCATGTCCAGCTAACAGAACTGTCCTCTCCGCAAAACTACCATATGACGAGCCGCGTTATTCACGAGCATTTTGCAGCCACGCTGACCGAACGAATAGATTTAATTTGAGTTCAGGAGCAATTTTGAAAGACGTACCTCTGTTGGTATACGAGCAGTCCCGAACAATCTACTGTACTGATCCATATCTAGTGCACGACCGCGTACGGCATCGGGGTCAAGTAGACCTTGACGGAGATCATGAATAAAGCCTAATGACGATATAATAAGAGCCGTAGCGCGGGGTAGCTGAGAGCCCCGATCTGGGGTAGGATCATTCCTGCCGGCAATGGATTTAAGGAGGGTTTTAGAATGCAAATGAAAATCACATGAAACGTACTCGAGGACAAAAAACGGGTTGAGAGCAAGTACTACAGGATCGCTGTGCGAGAGATAACTTTCATACCTACCCACAAGGATGAGATACCCATGATTTGAGGAAGTGCCCCGGAGCAAAATAAGGGAAGCTCACCAGAAGTCCTCGATATAGCTACGAGCAGCGAAAGAGTCGCCAGGTAAGATCCGGAAAGCCGCGATGAAAAAGTAGTTCGATTAGCGATGGATGAAACTCACCTCGCTTTCTCTTGTGCCCACTCATTCAATCTCCTCTGTAGAGCGGGACCTTCACCATCTAAGAAAATTCGAACAGCACGCTGAGTAGCAGCATGTTCCTTGTCATCCTGGAGACCTCGAAGAGCAGTCAAGTAGCGCTTGCAGGTGTCATCGAGAGATGGAACTGGGAGCTTCGGCAGGGTATGCTGGCTCGCAAATGTGCGTCCAGTGGGCGGAGTAGTTGGGCGGAAGGTTGGAGTTGCCATAGTATTGACAGTGACAGAGAGAGGAAGACACCACGCTAATTAGTCATTTGACAAGCTTCGCTCTCTTTGTAGTTTCTCGAGTGAATATGACAGATTAGGCTTTGATTTTGAAAGTGCGGAGCTAGCTGGAACAGCCCACCTCATGACCAACACAAGGCCCTACTAAGCATGGTGACCCACCGGTTCTCTTGGATCTGAGGTCAACTCAAAATTGGCATGGCCGGGACTTACAGCGGCCATTCAGACTCAACCCAACCTATCTCAGTCCCGTGTGTGCGCTCAAACTCCATCTCATACATGTACGGGTACCTCAGAGCGCATAACGTAAGGTACTGGTTTTCAACAAATCAGGGGTTCGGATCATTCTGAGCCGTCCTCTGTCCCCAAGATGCTGCGGCACAATCACCTCTAATCCGTGGCAACAAGTAGCATCTGTAAGCACAAACTAATTTGGACTACTCTGCTTTCAAACCGAGGTGCCACTCGCACTCATGCAGTCGCCCACATACTTGTTTTACCATGTCATCACTCACATTCGCCACTGAGAATCTAATCCAGCGCTCCCAGTCCGTCTTTGACTGACCAAATGACTCGAGGTCAGGTCCGATGCTGTCATCGCAGAAGAACTGCATGGGAAGAGCCAAAACGCCGAGTTCTTCCGCAAGCCGTTGGCATAATGTGATTGCAGGGATCCCGACAAAAGGGTGCTTTACGAAGGCAAAATAACCGCCTTGTGATCCGATCGTCCAATTGGGAGGGAGATGCGTGCGGAAGATATTGTGGCGTATTTTAAGCGATTGAGCACTGGCTTGGATTGACTGACGCAATATAGGCAACAAGCCTGGAGAAGCGAGAGCTAATTGTGGAGGGCGTGGTGCACATATTTGTAGGCAATCGAGTGTGGTGGTGACGTGTTTCAAGAGGTCGGGTGACGCTGCAATCAAACCCAGCCGATGTCCAGGGAAACAGTAAGACTTGGAAAAGGAGAAGAGATGAGTGACGTTTGATCTCCATGACGAAGAGGACTTTAACACCTCCGTCTGAAATGGAGCGAAAAGGGTGTGCGGAGGCATGGTGTCCACAAAATCTCGGTAAGTCTCATCGAGGACAAGAGCAATCTTGTGTTTCTGTGCGAGCTCGGCAAACTTTGAGATCAAGTCTGGAGAGTAAATTGCACCTGTCTGTATGGTGGTTATGAGTTAACGCATGTCAACCAGAAAGGAACGAACTGGGTTGTTTGGAGTCACGAGCGCGATTGCCTTTGTCTGTGAGTTGATTAACTTCTCGCAGTCGCTTGTTGAAGGAAGGAAGGCCTTATTAGCGCGAGTATATAGTGGGACTGTTTTAATGCCGAGAAGATTCAAGCTCATTCTGGGCAGGCGATCGGGTAAATGAGAGCAGACTCGGCGAGTAAACTACCATACTGGTGGTTGAAATACCTATCCGACGTCTTTTGAGCAGGATCACAAAGGAGAGACGACAAATGTACCATGGAACTGGCAGGATAATCTCGTCTCCTGGATCAGCAAGACACATCACAGTCGCAACGAATGCCATATTGCACCCAGCTGTGATAGCAATGTCATCTTGGGTAATATCCATTTCTCGTCCATATACTGTCTTCATCTCCTCCGCAAAGGCCGAACGAAGGGCAGATTCTCCGAGAACATGGCAGTACCCTGATGATTCGGAGAAGACGATGATTGTGATAGAGCCTCGAGAAGGACTTTGGGTGGAGGAGTTCCTGGAACACCTTGCGACATGTCAAGCAAGGGCCGTGTTGTTGTCGGCTTATACACCACTCCCCATGATTTTGCGTGTGGAATACTGCAGCATGTCTTCAGTCAGATGAGTTTTTTTATATGATGCAAGTACACACGGAGGTGATATTGTGCTCAACACTCCACGTGATAACCGGAAGGACAACGAAGACAACATTAGCAACGATTTATCGTGTGGCTGAACTCCACCACCGTGGGCCCGACTTTTTGGTGCAATGAATGGGATAGAGATGCGATGGGACAGGTGAGCACTGAGCATGGGAAGAACGTACGGTTAATTGCACAGGCAATTAAACTTACCACCCTCCTTCATGGCGCTCCGTTCCATATTCACCAATAGCAGTAGCATCGTAATCAGACATCGTTTGCCAGCATTGAATGAGCCAGCGCATGTTGAATTATTTTCATAGCTAGGTCGAAATCCGGCTTTGGCGTTTTTGTATCTACTTCCTAAATTATCCCAATAATCCGAATCAAATTAAAGGTTACCTTGTATTCCAGTCTGGGGTCCACAGAGCCGCTGGACGGCACGTATACCAGATATTAATATTAATGCAGGTACATGCTTAGGATGCTCACCAAGGATGCGATCACGATCAAGACGAACTGGAATCGGAGGGGAAACTGGAGACGTGTATAGGTCCCACGATAAAAGTACATCCGGTAGTGTCCAAGTTATTATATAACAACCGTGATGGATGCTCTGAAAGATCTTTCAAGTACTCCGAGTCACCAGGCCGGGGGGCCAGGCATCTATCATTTGATTCCATATCCCAGACGGTGACCATATATACTAGTGACCAGCCCGTCGCCGCTGGACGACATGTACATCAGAGATGAATATCAATGCAGGTACATCGATACTTCTGCTTAGGGTACTCACCAAGGATGCGATGCATCATCAAGATGAATTGGAATCAGAGGCCCGTGGAGCAGCTTGAGATGTATCTGTATATCCAAGATCCTGCATTCCGTTGACACGCGTTACGTCCAGGTGATTAACAACGATAGACGCCAGGATCTTTGTACTCACCAGGCCCAGACATCCATCACTTGATTCTATATCACGGTAACCATGCGGGAGACAAGCCAATCCTCGATGTTACCGCCAATGTTATTATTATTGGACAGAAGCCTGTCGAACAGTCTGATCCTTGGGCGGTGGAATTTTGAAAGGCTCCTCTTCAACTTTGAGGATATAAGCGGCCGTCACATATCCAGTCTTCCACCAACACCGTCCACCTTTCAACGACAGCTTTTGCATGTTTGCATCATGCAGTCGATCCCCCGGAACAATTCGGTAACTTTTATGATGCATATGTAGCTTGCAAGATACTCACCGCGTACCTACAGTTGACGATAGAGGATACTTTGGAGCTATACCCAGACGAATGGGGTGCGCCACCATTTGATCCTAGAAATGAAAAGGTACAAGTGAACCTGTCTAGATCGCCCCCATGCGCTCACCAAGTCTCAATCACTACTAGGAAGTCTTGCAGTTGTTTGATTATTATGTCACCAATCATATGCCGGCTCATCTGATATATATTGGCGACTCAGAGATGAGGATAGTGGAGCGCGGAGAGCTGAGCAAACTCTTCAAGCCAAGAAAGCTCAATGATGACGAGCTAAACAAGATACGGTCCTCTAAAGATGCCATACGGGAGCTTATCAAACCTGCCCTCAAGTATGCCATCTTTTCGCACCGATGGTTGCGCGAGGGAGAGCCCACTTTTCAGGATATCCGTTACGGAAGGGAATGCGGCAGAGATGGGTTTCAGAAGCTGTCAAAGTTCTGCGAGAAGGCGAGGGAATTTGGATACCGGTTGGCATGGTCGGATACATGCTGCATCGACAAAACGAACAACACAGAGCTTGATGAGGCTATACGCTCGATGTTCAGGTGGTATCGTAATACAGACATCTGCATTGTGCACCTCGCGGACTCCTCGGATTCGCAGCAGATGATGAACGACGTTTGGTTTACGAGAGGGTGGACTTTACAGGAACTCCTCGCACCCCTTTCGATTAAATTCTTCGGCAAGGATTGGAAACCTCTACGCCGCACGGACCTCCCAAATGACAAGCACGACGATCAACTCATGAAGGACATCTCGATCATCACTAGTATTTCAGTTGAAGACCTCCAACACTTCTCCCCCGGGCCAACTCAGATTCGTAAAAAAATGAAATGGGCGTCCAAACGTACGACAACCAGGGTTGAAGATGCGGCATACTCCCTTATCAGTATCTTCGATGTTAGCATGCCAATTGCATACGGAGAAGGAGAATCGGCCTTCCATCGTTTGATGGAGGTCATCATCCAGAAATGCGATGAATGGGATATGTTTGCGTGGGCGGGGCCGTCTTCCAGCCATAGCGCTGCCATCCCCAGATTGCCACGTTGCTACTGTCCATTCGATGCATCTAGATTTCCAGAGGAGCGGAAAGATGAACAAAATCGGGAGGTACACGGTGATAACGAGTTTAGGTTGACGCGCCAGGGCTTGCAGATCAAGCTTGCGGTTGTCAATGGCAAGTTAGAGCCACAACACGACGGGACCTTCCGGTTCATCGTACCTATTAGATTCACAACTGCCTCATTTGCTCCAGTGGTTGTACAGACCTCTCGCTCGAACGACAAGTATTGCGAGTTCGCGCTGGGAATAGTCAACTACGAACGAGGTCAGCGCCGCGGCGAGGAAGTCGGCGTGCTTTATCCTCAGAAAGACTACCTCTGTTTCCTACTGGGTCGTGCTGTAGAGGGAAAAGAATTGCACAAGGTGAATACGAGCAATGTGCTTACTGTGCGTACGACATTCACTGGGTGGGGCAGCCAGGAACCGCTTGTTGTAGTATTGTTGTGATGAATGTCCGATTCATATCTACATATTGTGACTTGCCGCAATGAAAGCTTCGAGTAGCACATATTATTTATTAAGAGGTCAATCAAAGTACCTCAGGGCACATTCGAAAATAAATTGGACGGCATGTGTATCATGACAAACATTTCAAACAAAGAAAATCAAAAGGGAGCTGAGTCGATCAGTCAAGATATATGGCTAAATGCCTTACTGGAGATGTATTGTGGAGATACACGTAGTATGAACGAACGCGAAATAACTCGTTCAGAGAACAGATATCAACGAACGACGGCTCCAGAGACGTCGGAAAACCAGGCACGTTGATCTTTGGGTGATGCCCAATCGGACTCATGGCCTGATCAATGATAATATGAGAAACCAGTTTGCAACAAATAGCATTTACCAGACAACGAGCAACGGAAGCATTCGCGCACCTCCAAAAAACGTCTGAAAATGCATGCCTTTGATATGGGATCCCTCGTCTTCTCGGAAAATCAGCCCCTTTGCGTGGATTACGCATTCGCCGTTAATCCAGAGCTGGAGTTCTCCTAGGATACAAGATTCAGTATTACCCCAGGGATCACTACGCCTTACCATCAGCTCTGCCGACATCGTTGAGTTTAACACGTTGTGCTATAGTCGTCCAGACACCTGACCCAAAGGTCCATGCACCGATTCCGACTGAAATCCCGTAATCAGAGTTGGCTGTAGAGTAGGGGGGAACCGCAAGAAGTGCATTTGTATTTGTCTCATTCATAGGTAGATAGGCGTAAATTTCTCCTTTCCCATCACGCCTAGGCAGACGTCGGGAAACAAGTGAGAAAAGGGTGGGTGCTACTCACCTCCACATGAGACGAACATCAAAACACTTGCAGCGGTCGTTCTGCCGTCCACCAGAGCATCTATAGGCAGTGTCGCCGACGCCACCATCTGCAATTGCGCATCAATATTGTATTCAAGACCCTGATCGGGAATGCGCACACATTCCTGGCAATTTCCCTCCTTTGACCCACTCCCAACCTTTCTCAAACATCACACGATATCCAAAAACTGTTTCTTTTGCGCCTACATCCAACAATGATACAATTTCTTTAGGTCCACCAAGATAAAATCCCAATCCACCAGGGATTTTCGTTTTCGGGCTGCAGGAACCCTTGGGATATTTGGCCTCCCAAGCGAGCTGAGGATCGTCCGAGGATGGTTGGAGAGAGGGCGGTGGACATATAACCTCGTGAGTCAACGAGCGCATGATTTTGTGTATCCCAAGAGGAGAATCTGCGAGCGGTACTGAGATGACATCGAGCTCGGCAATGGATGCAGGAGAGGGCGAGAACGTCGTGAATCCTAGCTGAAAGCTGCTGATTGGGAATAATTGCGACCAAGGCGGAAGCATGCTCAATGCCGTCGAGCCGGCAAGATATATGAAGGGCCTAGTAGGAGCAAAATGATAGCAGAGGTTACAATATTTGATATTCGTACCAACGCGTAACGAACGATGCCGTCGCGTCCAATATTACCTTTAACAGCTTAGCTCTACCGACCGAGTTTTACACTGGTTCACTGGTGGGCAACTGTGGGCTGCGAATTCCAACATGAATTTAAAACCCATTCTAAGGTTAGGGTTTATTCGCTGACCAAGCGAGAACGCGTAGCATCATTACAGTACTGCGACATACTTATTGCTACTTACCACCTACTGGTAGTACTACCAGATCACTCCACTCTAACAGCGGGTGAGACTACTTCTACAGGCAAATCTTCAAGCACGCAAATTTATTTCAAAACCACAGGATATGTTGCCACTCTTTGGGGACGAAAGACGTCGCGAGATCAATCTTGGTGGATCGAGCTCGGTCACCACCTCTCAAGCAGCTATCTTGAATCAGGCTAGAGCTCGACGAATCGAGAGGGAAACTGTCCGCAAACGACAAGAGAGTGCAGTTACAATCCAGGCTTGGTGGCGTGGTGTCACCGACGCCAGAAGGGTCCGCCAGGAACTTCGTGAACAGTTCATAGGGGATATTACAGGGCTCACCGGCCTCCGATGCCTCGTCCTCATCGGACAAGACGTCGATTTCCTTGATAAATGGGCTGCGGAGGTCCTTTCTCAAGGTGCGCGACTTCTGTTTGACGCCATGCCTCCACCAGCTTATCGTTCATCTAGGTTCGCTGTTCGGCCTTGCCTATGGCCGTGATCGAGAACACTGGCTTGTATTAATGCGACAGGTTTTCTTTTTACTCCTACGCTCTGTTTCTGATCGCCCAAGGTTTTGATACATATTATTTGTATCTTGACTGAGCTGACCTGATCCAGGTCTGAAAGCACTGTCTCATGCCTTCAAGTCCTGTGCACTCTCTTAAACCCGGCATCTGCTATTGAAGCGTTGGGATTTTCCGGTAATCAGCTTACTGTGAGCATCACCGAATACGCTGTAAGGCATGACTTGTATCAATATCTTGCCCGTTCAATACAAACCATTGTGAGTTCCCTTGGGCCCATCTTCTCTATATCTTTTATATTGTCCACAGGGGCCGGAGACAAAGAATGCCCCAACCCTGCCTTTCTTTGTGGAACTCATATATCGCCCGCTCAACACATTAGAACGCTCGTCAGAGACATTTTTGCAGTGTTTTCAGTCGCTTGCCGTCCATATACTCACAATCCCTCTTCTTCCAAATCGAATCCCGATTTCGTCACTCACAGCCCTTTCCGCAAAGCTTCCTCTATCTTCATTGTCAGTCTTGTCGACCTCTATTGCCGACCTTGTCTCCACAATCCCTCTCCAATCCCATGTGCATCTCATAGCCAACCTGTATGCTTTTACCACCCCAAGATACGCGATTCTGCCTCTTTCGTCCTTGAAAACATATCTCCAGCTCATGACTGCTTCACTGAGCATCCTCCCCGTGCACGCGCTTGATCCACCATCAGCATCTGATACCCGCGCTCCCGCAATGTCTTGGGCAGACGATGATGAATCGGAATCAGAACAACCGCACGTCGCAGTTGTTACATCTTTTGCACCAACGCCAAGGCTGCCCCCGCTGGATGCTCGGACACAGAAGCGCCTCCAGACCCTTCCGGGTCCTTCGCACTTGAATGCGTTGCTCAAGGCAGTTCAGCATGATCGTGGCGCACTTCCCGATCTCGTATCATGGCTTGTTAACTTGTGCATCGTATGGCCTACCCGGAAGGACAAAATACTGAGTACGCTGCTGCTATATGGAGGAGGTGGGCTTGTGCGTGAGATTTACCGTGACTATGTACGGAACTCTCCACTCGGGAAAGATGAAAATATCTCATCTTTGATGGGTTTGTCTTTATACCTCCTGCGGTGAATCACACTGATTATAATCAAGATCCCTCGCTGGGGTTAGCGTGGCCACCTCTACTACTGCTCACCGAGCTTTATACTCAATCTCTCTTGACGATGGGTGATGACGAATTTTTCTCCAACTCCCGGACATCGTTGACTTTGGACGAACTGGTGGCCTTTTCTCGTGCACTGTTTAACATCGCGTTTGCTCTTTACTGGCGGGATGACCAAACGAAGATTCAGGAGGGCGGTGTACCGGGTCTGAATCTCCGTTGGGCAGGCGTACGAGACAAGATAACGAAATGTCTACAAGCTATACATGCACGGGAGTAAGTCTGCACATATCATCGCAGTCGCTCAGTAATTCATATCAACTTGTTGTCTTGCAGCTCCCGCAAACCATTCATGCCCGAGAACCACTGGCATGTAAGTTCTCAAATCGACATGAACTCGTTCATAGATGCTGCTGTGTGCGTCGCACCTATGAACTTATCATCCCTAACTTGTGCTGACCGACGTCTTCACAGGTTCGAAGAACAGCAGCTTGATGAGTCCTCAGCGCCACGGGCCTTGACGAAGAGACAGCTTTCACACCTTTCCCCTCGGCTCAGTGTCCTCAACAATATTCCATTTGCTATCCAATTCGAGACTCGTGTTTTGATTTTCCGGCGCTTCGTAGAAAACGATAAGTGGAACCGCAATGGGGACACACGTGGGCGGATCGATGTATCCATTCGCAGAGGCCATATTGCGCAAGATGGATATGACAGACTGGCCGAAGCAGATCTAAGGGCCCCGATCGCAATAACATTTATCGATCAGTTTGGAGAGCCCGAGTGCGTATAAAGCATAAAATTGCCCAATCTACAGATAGATACTGATGGGAGTGGCTATTCGTTAGGGCCGGGATTGACGGCGGTGGCGTATTCAAGGAGTTTTTTACTTCCTTGTGCAAAGAAGTGTTTGACTCAGACCGGGGACTATGGCTAGCGAATAAGAGGAATGAGATTTACCCTAATCCCCACTCGTATGCCACAGAACGTACGTTGTCCCCAGATTTGTTCTTTGATACACACACTCACGTTCATATCCGATGCAGCGCACAATTTGAACTGGTATCGCTTCATCGGACGAATTCTGGGTAAGGCACTTTATAAGGGCATCTTAGTCGAGGTCCCATTTGCAGGGTTTTTCCTGGCCAAGGTAATCGCTGTGTAATTGATAACAAGCTTCACGTTATTGATCATTGATAAAGTGGCTAGAAAAACAAAGCTTTCTGGACGACCTTGCTTCTCTCGATCCTGATTTGTACCAGGGTCTGATATTCCTCAAGAACTACACCGGGGATGTGGAAGACCTCGCATTGAACTTCACGGTTGCGATCGAAGGTTGGTCATCTTTAACATATGTGCTTGGATTGTAGGTTTTCTGATGCGGAATGTTGCCAGATTTTGGGGTCGCCAAAGCTGTGGACCTCATACCAGACGGCAGTAATGTCCCGGTCACCCGAGAGAACCGACTGCAATACATCTACCTTACTTCTCACTACAGGCTGAGCAAGCAGATCAAGCTCCAGAGCGAGGCATTCTTTGAGGGTCTTTCTGATATGATAGACCCCAAATGGCTTCGGTATGTTAGGTTAAAATTAACTCTGCCTGGATTGTTAATGTAGCTCCTTCTAGAATGTTCAATCAGCAAGAACTTCAAATATTGCTAGGTGGCGTGAACGCACCTGTGGATGTACAGGACTTGAGAGCGCATACCCAATACGGGGGTTTGTATGATAATGACGAACCCACCATACAGACTTTTTGGAAGGTCGGTATCTTCAAGGACTGCGATTATATTATTAATCTTAACCTTCATCTGCAGGTTTTGGAGGATTTCGATCAGGAACAACAACGGCTGTTCTTGAGATTTGTGACAAGCTGTAGTCGACCGCCACTTTTGTGAGTTCACAGCCTCCATTATTTGCCCTTGATATTTGTTGTTGCAGGCGCTCATTATTTTCCAGAGGCTTTAAGCAGTTAAGCCCCCTCTTTGCCATACGCGACGCAGGGAGTGATGAAGACCGATTACCAACTTCAAGCACCTGCGTGAATCTCTTAAAGGTGAAATAACTTTGTGCTGACATTTATAGCGTACTGACTGGTCACGAATCAGCTGCCAAGATATAAGAGCGAAAAAAAGCTTCACGACAAGCTCCTGCAGGCAATCTCCTCTGGCGCTGGTTTCGATCTCTCATAGTACCCTTCTATGATCACCAATTTCAACCACTGTATTGTTGTTGCTGTATCACGGATATATACAGCTGTACGATATAGAATTTACAACTTCCGTCGTGTTACTATGGGGCTATTTTTCTTCCTCCAAGGGCAGCATAGATACTGTTTTCTCCTTTGTCACCAAGTCTTTCCTCCTTGAAGTGGTTCGATATGAGGAAGGCGACGTCTGTCAAATGCGTCAGTTGAAACTAATTCTTTGCTTAAATTTGGTTCTTCATACCAAGCGATTGCTCGAAATTGAGTCGGGGGTCACAGAACGACTTCGTTGAGGTTGAGGGTAAGAAGAGCAAGTCAAATACGAACGTAGTCTAGCACACCTGGTATCTGAGCCCCAGTTGTTCTTCGCTGAGCCCCATGCTTCCACCAAGACACTCTGTCACGCTGAAGCCTTCGTCGTTAAGCTCGCCTGTGAACTCGAGACTGACTCCACCGAGCCGAGAACCACAAGCAGCGTGAATACTGATGCAGGAAGTCAGCTCACTGATAATAGTCGCGAAGTTGCGTGTTTTGAAGCCACTGCTGGAAGTAAGTGTGCTTGGAATGACTCAGTCCGCGTTCCACATCATCGAGGATATAAACGTACTTTCCATGCATGGGATCACACACCCATGCGACCGGGTGTTGAGAGTGCTTAACGGCTTCGATGTGGCCAGCGAGGTAGTCTCCGATCTTGATAGCTTGGTCAAAGGTTGTTGGAGACAGCTGGGAATGAATAACGCACTTTTCCTGCTCCATACCTGGTGATGAGTGTCACGCGACCAATTTCTTTGTTTGGATTTACGACTATGAAGAGAGGTATGCGATAAGTGCGTTCTGCGAGACGTACGCCATGAATTATACATACTTTGTAGGAGCCTGATTAGCTCCGCATTTTCTAATGAAGGTCCGACCTTGATGCCGATGGGATTGCGTATACCTCGGAAATATTCGATATGGGCGCCATCCAGTTGTCGCGTACGGTCACCAACCCATAGAAAGTGGGCGGAAGTATTGTAGAAGCCCTTTTCCTTCGGAGACGATTTTGACCCAATAATATCGGCTTCCCGTGTCATTGCTTGCTCCCAGTCCAACATTAACCCTTCATGACTGAAATTTCCGATGCCATTAACTTGATCCGCTACGCCACGCCATGTCATCAGGGAGCTGACCTCGTGTAAAAGTCAACCTCGCCTAGAACACCTCGACCACCGCCCCGGTCAAAGGGCACACTTTCCCTACCTGAGTCGGCACCTATCGTGTGGCTGAAGTCAAGCGCGTCAGAAAGACCCTGGGTGATTTTTTCAAACTCGCTCCTGCGGTAGAAACAATATCCGAAATCAGGGGTGCAAGAGCATGTGCAAGGATATACTGACCGTAATGCTGGCGAACGAACGTGTGAGAGTGACCAGTCTCGCGGGTGATGCAATGAAGCGAATCCGGATGTGAGGAGGCCACGAACGTAGTTGAGGGTAGCGGTGGAATGAAAGTAGGCACTAATATGGGGAAGGATGTTCATATCGATTATGATAAGGTAGTCAAACACAAACCTGAGGAGCCTTTCAGGATCCGGGGTTCGATCGTTGGGGTCAAGCCTGCTAAAAGTTTAGTTTTCAGTCACGATAGGTTCTCTTGTTGTACCCATTGACGTTGTCACCACTGCAATAGGAATTGGAATCAGGTGGTGTCCGACTCAATGTCTGAATTGGTCATTGCACACCGGAAATTCAAAACCTCCCTATTGTCAATTGTTTCTGTCCTGCTGCTCCTGGGTTTGGCATATTGCCCGGCTATACGTCCGATGCGTACCTGGATTGCGAAAGCCCGTTGTAAAAATATGCGCACCGGCAGGCCAATCATGCATTATGACATGCACTTCAACGCACCACTGGGAGACGTCCACCCCAAATGAGTATGAGAGAAAACGAAAGTATCAACCCGATCTTCGCTGATATGTTTTGCTTCGAAATACTTAGAACGCCGCATAGGCTTGAGAATGGAATAGCTCACTTGAGTACACGCGTCAAAACTTTCTGCGCAATCTCCCGCATGGAGCAAGAAGGCCTCGTTCCTTTGCACAGCAGCTAACTGAAAGCGAAGGCGTTCAATCTAGAAGGCAGTCACGGTAAGGAACGGCAGCAGGTAGAAGTACCGGACACAGACTTCTGCAGGCGTTACGAGGGGGGGTAGACCATTTATTTTTGTCAAGACTCTGTTTATTTAATTAAAAAAAACATGTAGTAAGTTACGGATGCATAAATTACACGTGTATGTACAGACCTTTTGAGATGCTGTTGGTCAGGGTAATCCACTATCTGATGCAGACGGTAAATCAACCGTTTCCGAGTCATCATCGATTGCGCTAAACCTGGACGATGTTGTTCCCACCTGAGCAGCTGTCCTCGATTTCCATGAAGAGGGATGCCACTTCAGGTCTGCCATTGGAGAAATCGGCACGATCTATGGTAGCTTGTGCGACTCGTGCTTGATTGATTGATCACTGATCAACCCAGTGGTCTAATAACGGTATCAGTGCTGGAATTCTCCGAACGATGGATGAGATAATCACGGTTACGATAAAGTTTTAGGAACTCTGAACAGAATGACAACTCGAACGTTCAACGCGTTCAATGGAGAAGCAGTACTAGCCAACTAGATTGTTGTTGCAGACTATTGTCCAGGCTTTCATTAACTGACACCGGTACGCGCATTCAAATTCCTTTGACATACAAAGGAAATTACAGGTTTTCACCTGCCCAAGCTTCCATACTGATATACCAGCTTGGAGTTTCTACTGGACGCACCACACCCGCGGGTCATCTCATCGTGCGCTGTCACCCAAACGAGATATGATGCACGTTTTAACTACCCACTTTTTGCGGATACAAATCTGGCAAGCATAAAATTTCTTTAGCATAATCAATTCCAATGGAGTGCTCACCAGTCCTCTGGGCTTCTCCATAATGCATGCAATCTAGATAACGTTTATGGCGCAACAAGCCGCAGCACCGCAAAGCCGTACCTCCTCGGTTTGATGCCATCGACACGAACTCGTAGTCACAGCTTGAATTAGTTTCAAACTTTGTTTGACACACCTTGCCGGCTAACCCCCTGTGAGTGTATTGTCTGTCCTGTTGTGCCGCACTGTGTATCCGGTTCTCCGATATAAAGGGCATCTCATGCTCGATCACTCGTTACCCAGCATAGCTCGCAATGTCTCTTCTTCTGCGTTCTTTCCTTGTCCTTGTGCAAGCATTCTGTAACCAGATCGCATTTACTCCACCTAATAAAACGCCAGCAAAATGGCGCTATCACACTGAAGAGGCATCCGTTTTGCAAGTTGCTCCATTGATCTTCAAGGTAAGCTAGCTAGTGACATTGTAGCTGTCGTGTCTAATCAAAAATTGTATTTTATTCAGGTCCACACAATAATTCTATGGTTGAGTGCTTCATATGAAGCAATTTCGACAATCCACTATTTTTGTGGATCGTTGTTGTCAACGCAGTCGTCAGGTCGTCTCGACTCAGTATTATGTCCTGCACAGCGCACGCAACATTTAGTCACTCCCGTGTTCTTACTCGGAGTCATGATGGCTGCTCTCGGGATGTTCATCCGTGTGCGCTGTTTCCACGAGCTCGGCCACTTGTTCACCTTCGATCTCACCCTGTACCCTGGGCACAAGCTTGTGACATCTGGATTTTACAAATATGTCCGGCACCCAGCGTACACTGGCTCCTTGTTGTTGGTTGCGGGTATTGCCTTCTCGCATCTAACTCCCGGGAGCTGGGCAATCGAATGTGGCATCCTCGGACCTTTCAGCTCCGCATTGCTAGGGGCTATGTGGTGGGTTTGGGCGTTGTCAGTAGGTGTGAGCCGTGCGTACGCAGAGGATGGTGAGCTTCGTAAATTATCCGCGTCAGAGTGGGATGCATATGCTGCCGAAGTAAAGTTCTGGTTTGTGCCGGGATTGCTGTGAGCTAGTGGCGTGCATCATCGGTAGATCAGTTTGCCTTGAAGCCTGTTTCCTTTCCTGTCTCGTCACGACTCACTACTAGCAACTCATTTTAGACAATCGATTCCTCACGATTTAGAATTTATATCTACACATAGATAGCTCTTATGTGCATTCTAGGGTTCCGCTTGTGTTCTTTGGCACAATCTCCTTCTGCTTAAAATTATGCTACATCGCTTCTCAGTAGGCCTTGAATATATTTGTGGTTTGTACTGTACGGTGGTGCAATTTACTGTTCAGCTGAATTGGGGAACTCGAAACAAAGGTTGGGTGGCATTGTTCAACTTTCGCACCAATCTCAATGCCCTCTATAACTGCACTAGGATGCAGAGCACTCATCGATAATCAATCAGATCATGTGTGGGGTACGAAAGAGTTAGTTCCGGATCTTGATGTTGTACTTGCCTTTTGGGGATTTTCTTCTTACCGCATCGAGTCATCAACGGCCCCGATTCCCGAATTCGAAAACCTCGCAGCAGCAAGGCAGCCCATGGCCAGCGTCTCTTACAGAATTTTGCTATCTCAAAGATACGATGTCGCATCATACCAGGTGAGATTACAAGGCTGTCGTGATAGTCGAGTGCTGAGCTCCTCGTGGTTACGTTTAAACTTTAGTGACTTCAGTCAACCTCCTCCGGCGTACCAGCATCATGCTTCAATGCCACAAACATCCCATCACGACTATACTCCACAAGGACACACACATAAAGGACACACATACGACCATGATTTTCATAGGCACTACGGACATTGCCAGCCCCCGATACACGTTGTAGTACCAATGATCCCTGCCTCTAGGACTGTGTAAGCTTTCATTCTATACCCGTTCCTTTCAATGCTTGATAGAGGTCACTACTAGTATTCGTTCAAGGCATGATGCGCAGCACACGAAATCATGATGCAGTTATTGATACTCATCTTCAGGTACAATGAAGTCGACCCTCTCCTCCCAGCAGGACGACGACGGAACAATGGCCCAGGATGTTGCTTCTTTACAATTCTCGGAGCCATGCTCATTTTCGGGGTGTTTGCCATCGTTTTCTTCTCATTTATGCCCCTCAATGAGTTCGCTTGGACCAATATCGAATCTCATTCCTGCACCACTTATGCAACAAAGGAATACGTAGCGGAGCTCAACGCGTCTCGTTGGAGCCATCATAGGATGGAAATCTGCATGGCCACTCCGGTGTTTATTCATGGCCGGCCCCACTGGCCCTCTAGATGTGAAGATGTTGGTTGACATTTCTCGCTAGTCCTGATTATGAAGTCTGACTTGATATAGCGCTCAGGCACGGTGTTTGGACATTTCGCCATTAACCATGACGAGCCTGACTGCGTTACCTACTGGAGTGGATATAAAGATATGGTAAGTTGGAGATGTTATTCTTCACTCATTCTAACCGCTATCTTCGTAGGGCTGTTCCGCTAGAGGCTCAAAGAAGAGGGTGAGAACGGATGCGCTGTTCTCTGGGACTTGAATTGATCATTACTACAGCACATCGAGCAACGTCTCGAGAACTTGCCGTTCCTAGCTGACTATAAGGAGTTTTGTGCAACAACCCCTGCTCATTTCCTAGACCGGAAATTCTCTGGTGCAGACTCGTGCGTGAATAATGTATGTGCATTTGGATTCCCTTTATCTCTCATTCGACTGACATCTCGTTAGATCTGGGGTGTCTACGGGCAATGGTTTATCGATGACCATGGTTGTTGAAGCAAGCGATTATCGATAAGCGTCGTTTCTTGTACCCAACTTTATCTCCGCTTCTTATCTCGACATTTGTACACTATTTAATGATGTAACCTATGCTTTGAATACTTCTTCTATTGTGGCTTATTTCACATTTTTGAACGGAGCGTGCTAACGCATCTGTGCAACTTGATCAGGAAAACCACTTTTTTGTCACTTTCACAGCACTGAAGCGATTCCTCAAGGACTTCAAATATTAATGTGCTGCCATCAACGCGTGAACTTATCTAGAAGTCTGACGGAGACCTACAACATGCATGAATGGAGGTACTAAGGTAGAATCTTATGCATGGCCCACCGATAAAGGTGACTGTATCAGGATATCAATCCAGAATAAATCCTTGTTCAGTGCTTTGCTTAGTCATCACACATTTCCTGCTTCATCGACGACGACGTGCTCCTGCTTTTTCGTCAACGCTCTGTTGTCATTGACCACGATGGCGTCAAACAAAAACAAGCTTGCATTCCTGTCAATGCCGGCCCCGGCATCGTATGTCGCTGGTCTCGGTCGAGGGTGAGTATCTCATATATCATTGGATGCCCCGACCTAACGCTACGACAGCGCCTCTGGATTCACGACTCGTTCAGATATCGGACCTGCCAGAGAGGGTCCATCTGCAGAAGTTATTGCGTGCGTTCAAATATCTTTCCTTAGAAGACTTCACTCATCCTTTGCACAGCGAGGCCCAAGCTAGGCGCGGTGAGGAGCCCGAAATTGATCCAGAACAATTCCAAGACCCCGACAATGAATATGGCCTATTTGCTGGTACAACTTATGAACAAGATGATGAGGAAGCCGACAAAATATATGATGATGTTGATCAGAAGATGGACTCACGGCGTCGGGCACGTAGGTGTGTGCTTTCCGGTTAGTTGTATCATTTTATTGTGTTCAGCTGCTTCACTTTGCTTTTCTATCCAGGGAGGCGAGAGAGAACGCAGAGCTTGCAAAGCACCGAGCTGAGCGCCCCAAGATTCAGCAACAATTCGCCGACTTGAAGCGTGGTTTGTCCGTCGTCACCGACCAGGAGTGGGAGAGCATACCAGAAGTGGGTAATCTTACCAGGAAGAAGCGGCGAAAAGACGAGAGGACTTTTGTCGTTCCTGACAGCATCATCGTCGGTGACCGATCCAAGTCTGAATATGAGAATTCCTTGGACACTCGACAACAACAAGCCAATGGCCTTGAGACTCCTGCTGACACAGGTACCATGACCAATTTTGTTGAAATCGGTCAAGCTCGTGATAAGATCTTGTCCTTGAAGCTCGATCAAGTACGTCTGCTTATCATAGTACTGATGCATCATACTCATTGCATCGTAGATTTCTGGGACAGCCACTACTTCTGGCTCTGCTACCTCTGTTGATCCCAAGGGCTACCTCACATCACTCAATAGCGTCGTTCTCAAGACTGAAGCTGAAATTGGCGACATCAAGCGTGCCCGCATGCTGTTTGACTCGCTCGTCAAGTCAAATCCCAAACACGCCCCTGGTTGGATTGCAGCTGCATGTCTGGAAGAACACGCTGGTCGTATGGTTGCTGCAAGGAAACTCATAAAAGCAGGTTGCGAACAGTGTCCTAAGAGCGACGACGTATGGCTTGAGGCCGCAAGGTTACATGTACGTGAACCATGGTATCCTCTGCGATATTGCTGATATCCCTTCTAGAATAATGACGATGCAAAAGTCATTCTTGCCAACGCTGTTCAACATGTCGGTCAGAGCGTCAAGATTTGGCTTGCAGCGGCCGACCTTGAACAAGATGCTAAATCGAAGAAACGCGTCTTGCGTAAAGGTATATAATTTGCCATCGAATTTACCGAGATTCACTCACATTTCACACAGCACTCGAGAATATTCCCAACTCCGTTCGGCTATGGAAGGAAACCGTCAATCTCGAAGAATCAGCTACTGACGCTCGCATACTCCTCTCCCGCGCCGTGGAGGTGATTCCACTTTCCGTCGAGCTCTGGCTCGCTCTTGCCCGTCTCGAAACCCCTGAACGCGCCAAAGCTGTCCTTAACAAAGCTCGCAAGTCTGTTCCTACGTCACACGAGATCTGGATTGCTGCTGGCCGCCTACTTGAGCAAGGGGCTATGGGCGACCCAGACAAGTCCACAGAAACCAAAAACAAGGCACTCGATCTGGTGGACAGGACCATCGAGCTTGGTGTTCGGGAGCTCCGGCGGCACCAGGTGCTACTCACGCGCGAGCAGTGGCTCAAGGAGGCGGAGAGGTGTGAGAGCGACGGCAGCCCGCGGACATGCGAGGCAATCATTAAGGCTACAGTGAGTATGGAGGTCGAGGAGGAAGACAGGCTAGATACATGGGTTAGCGATGCGGAGAGCGCAGAGGCGAGGGGCATGGTCGGGACTGCGAGGGCCGTGCTTGCGTATGCGCTCAAAGTCTTTCCGGATCAGCGGAATCTGTGGAGAAAGGCTGCAGATTTGGAGAAGGCGCACGGCACCAAGTATGGTGATTTTTTGCGGAATGTATATCTTGTATTAATGTTTTTTTAGGGAATCGCTCGATGGAGTGCTCTCTCAGGCAGTGCACTATTGCCCTCAGGCAGAAGTTCTCTGGCTTATGTCAGCCAAAGAGAAGTGGCTGGCTGGAGACGTGCCAGCGGCACGCGAGGTCCTCGAAAAAGCTTTTATCGCCAATCCCGAAAGCGAGCAAATCTGGCTTGCCGCGGTCAAGCTCGAGGCTGAAAATGGTGAGCTGGGTGTCGCAAGGGAGCTACTCGTGCGTGCACGGACAGTTGCAGATACTGAGCGGGTAAGTGTTTTATCTCAATACCTGATCCACGACCGATCTGAGTGTATCTTCTCAGATCTGGATGAAATCTGCTGTATTCGAGCGCCAGCAAGGGCAGTATGCTGCAGCGCTTGAAACCGTCTCCACCGCCCTATCTAAATTCCCAAAGTTTGCCAAACTATACATGATTCAAGGCCAGATCCGTCAGATGGAAAAGAATTACTCCGCTGCGCGTGCCTCGTATGCTGCTGGCCTTAAAGCTTGCCCGAAGGAGATTACGTTATGGGTGCTTGCGAGCAAGCTGGAGGAGCTTGATGGAAGGAGCATCAAAGCTCGCGCATTGCTAGAGAAGGGACGGCTTGTCAACCCGGCGAACGAGATTCTGTGGGCAGAGTCTGTTGGTGTGGAAGAGCGATCCGGTGGAGCTGCACAGGCAAAAGCAATGCTCGCCCGTGGCCTACAGGAATGCCCGTCGTCCGGTCTCTTATGGTCGATGTCTATATGGGCTGAACCACGACCGACCAGAAAAAGCCGCTCTGTCGATGCACTGAAGAAAAGCAAGGATAATCCGCTGATCACATGTACAGTTGCGCGCTTGTTCTGGGCAGAAAGGAAGATTGAGAAGGCGAGACAGTGGTTCTCGAGGAGTGTAGCTACAGAGCAGGATAAGGATATCGGAGACCATTGGGGATGGTGGCTCAAGTTCGAGCGCCAGCATGGCACTCCTGTGCGTCTATTGTCATACACCTGAGATACTGACTAATTTACTTCTACAGGAATACGTGGAGGAGGTTATTAGACAGGGCGTCGCCGCTGAACCGCATCACGGGCCTGCGTGGCAGGTTATAGCGAAGGATGACAAGAATGTTGGGAAGGGCACGAAGGAGCTACTCTCGATGGTTGCAGATGCGTTGCAATGAAAGTTTATTTGAGGACTTTTTGTGGAGATAGTTGTTCCTTGTGCTCCAGGTCATATTATATGAGCATTTTTATGGTTGTTGTACTAGTCAGAGCTCGAAAAAGAACTAGTATACCGAGATGTGTCAATATCAAACGATCCTGCACGGTACCCGTGATCAGATGGTCGTAAATAAAGTTGGATTGTGCCTACGAGTGAAAGGTCGGGTCACTACAGAATAACAGCAGATTATATAAGGTCGCGTACGACGGTTGTAAATTATGTTTGATCGCTCCGGAATTCCAAAACGTGCATCGAGCCACAGAAGTCAGGATACAAAGCACAGTTGGCGTCATTATGTAGTACACAAATGCTGGACAGGAGATAGAGAACAATCATTGCTGGGCACAAGAAACAATGGTCTTCACTCATTTTCTCCATATCCAGGATCTCGCTGAATATGATGTTGTGAGATGCTTCACGCAAGTGGATATGTTGGTATGTGAATGGCAGGCAATCGCAATTGATGATCTGATTTTCCTGAATCATCGTTATGAGTAAAATCGATGTCATGCGATGGCGGTTTCTCTATCACCTCCTGTTAACATTTTTTCTTTCTTGCAGCCGACAGAAGGGGATCCCTTGTAAGTAGAATGCAATTCTGGTGACACAACAAGCTGTGTAGCGGTAATTACTTGTATTCTGTAACAACGCACTTAGTTTGTTTGCTTCGTGCCCGTGCTCCAACTTCTATCGAAACCAGCCTAGACGGGTCCCGTGTTCTTGTGCTTTGATGATTCTCGTGTGTTTCCGCTGTCTCGTGCTCGATGATGAGCCGCTCACTTAGAACTGATTTCTTCTGGTGTAAATGAGACGCATGGAGCTATACATCACGGCACCAGCCAATGAAGCGATCTGAGATCCGGATAATCGAGATCAATGGATAGAGAAAGCAGCGACCACAGTCAATTCACCCCAGAGAACAGAGCGGGTTTCCACCAAGTATAATTAGAGGTGAGTAGAGCACCGGATATGGGGGTTCCTAGATAAACATTTAGAAGTTGAAACAAGAAATATCACGAATGCATCTACCAATCAAACTTCCAAATCCTGTAGTGGATGTGTGCGAATTAAATTCAAAAGAATCTATAAGTGAATCTGATCCTACTCACCACCAACAAAGAAACAGATCCCCATCCGCCCGCTGTGGCCAGATTAGATAGTTCGTGCAGACTAAGCTTAAGCTATCACTCACCCAAGCTCAGAGGTGTTGGGCGCTAGGACAGCCACGAGTGGGCCCACCATTGTGGTACCTGTATGATCGATCAACACCCTCAACCATGTGGTGAAACGGAAAACTACTTACACACCCCCGAAAAATAGCCGTAAAGCACACCAAGAATAGCGACGCTAGTCAGGCCACTCAATCCAATGGCGCCCAAAATTGTCAATCCGCACGAAATTGCTGAAATCATGGTTAAGTTTGGGACTCCTATATATGCTGCGGTGTACCCTGAAGTAACTCGTCCCACACAACTGGACGCATTTAAAATCACAAGCTAGTGAACATATCAGCAGGGGAACCGCTTGTGTGATGCTGGATCTCACAGAGTAAAACGAAAAGATGATGCTGATACCGTGCTTGATAGAGTCAAGTTGAAGAAAGAATAAAGCGTAGTAGAAGCCAGTCTGGACAAGAAAGGCCCTGCACACAAATTAGTCATTTGGAAAATTCGAGAAGAATTGTCTCACCCTGCCAGTGTAAAAGTAAACGGAATATCACGAAGACATTTTCTAGCTGCCGCAATATAATTCACTGGTGTCGTGTGGTCGGTGGATCAAGGCGAGTTCGCATACATAAGCATGCAATAAAAAAGAGCGCGCTAACCAACCCTGTACTTGCACGTACGCCATCGGCAAAGCCAAAGTGCCCATTCAGGAAGGTTATTGAACATAATTATTAATTGAATGAATGATAGCACCCAGCGATGAACCAAAAGCAACGAACGTCATCACTAGCGTGCGTTTCCGTTTGAAATAATGCGAGGCGACAGCAAGACTTGGGACGCACAGGAGCCCCAGTGCGATACCCGAGCCTAAGCCTCGAGTAAGGGATATCTATACGGCGTTAGAAAACGAAACCGTCTGAAAGCCGGTGGGCGTTACCTGGTAGTATTTATCAGGCTTCGTCGATGATAGTATGAAGAGTGATAATCTCTGCAAGAGTGACCTGGTGATGACAAGATAGTAGCTGGTTAAGCCTGCTAAGTATCGTCTCCAACACATCTGGATTTAGACCCACAAATAACCTCGGTCACACAGAGCTCGCTATAAGGCTCACAGAGGTACCTAAAATTGCATTAAAGCTCCCGATGGATCTGCAAGTGACCATGAGGATACTCATGATAGAGAAGCCTGTAGAACTCACGAAATGGCAAATGATGTCTCATTTGTGAGGTAATACTGAGTACAGAAGTCTGGAAGGCAAGTCGTTTAAATAAAGTTCCATCCTCACTTTCGTGTATAGCAACACCTTCGTATACACCAAATAAGGTGGTGCGGCTTTTGGCCTTCAGAGCGCCATTCTTGACCAATAATAGTGTGCAATACTCAACCACAACAACCACAGAAAAGTACAAGAAACCTAAGAAAATCAAGAGTCAGCTTGCCGTCTGAAGTTGAGTCTTCTTACGACCCAAAGGCAGTGGACCAAGCTGCAAGACCACCTTCTGGAAAATCATCCATGCGCGAAGAAAGGGCGGAGTCCTTAGAGACTGAGGATTCGATGTCCAGCACCTTTGACCCCTCGTTGTCCGAGTCTTGGGAAGCCTGGGGTTCCATACAAAGCGTTTGAGGTTTGGTTTCGACCGTCATCCGTGGACTGAGACAGGTGACACCGTTGCACGGGGCCGTAGTGACCACACTGCGCTCACGGTACACATTTAAATATAAGTGAATCGCCGCACTCTGACACGTCTGTCCAAAACGTAGCGAGAGCACTTGAGGAAGGCGCAACATCGTCATGGCCAAATCAATAACCAAAAAAGAACACAACATGGCCGCATGATGATTCAACAGCGATAACAAGCAAAAGGACAAAACTTCCTCAAGGAAACAGTGGGCTTCATGTGCAAGAATGACCAGTCCCTACGTTGCTCCATAGCAGTCTCGCACGAACGGAAAATTATCTTGCGCAATCCAGTTTCCCGAAGCTGGCTCAGAAGTCTAATATGATCATACTTCGTAAGTTGATAGCCCATTATGCAAGACCCACTTTATCGGAACACCTGAACTATCTTGCAATCCACTAACGCCTGCTCACATGGACTGTGACCTAACTCTGGGAACGACTCGTGAGATTTTCAAGCCTGTCGGACGAGCGGAAATCGCTCGAGGTAAGTACTATTCTGCAGAAAACATGATTCACACAACGTACATGTTTACCAACTCGGTCAGCGTACGGAACGTTGGATACTATATATGCATTAAAAATATGGCTCAGTGCTCTGCCAGTCGCCAAAAGTCCGCAAAAGTTGGTGAATATCTAGTCCAACATTGAAAGAACGTGAAAATATTATATAATCACATCTGATTGGCTAAGGCCTGCAAACTTGTCATTTAAGCCTTCGAGAATTCTGCGTCGTCAATACGAGTCTCGGCATCCAAATCCAACGACTCGTATAACTCAATCATGTGACTGACGCCTCTCTTCTCCGCGTTCTACCGAACAACGGAACAAGGGGAAGACCCCACTCAGAGACTGACTTGTACGTGCTCAGTCTTACCATCTACTTCGGTTCTTTAATATCGCATAATGATTGTGGCATGTGTATTGTCCGAATCCGAACTGACTAGAATCCAGTAGTATCGTCACTCGTGTAACGTTTGCTCAAGCTTATGCTACCATAGTTTAAGAATAGTACTTGGATTTCGTGATTTAACTCACTTGTTTCAAATATGGTCTTCGTCATCTTCTTTGCCATTCTGGAACGAACCAAACGGGGAACTGCGGCGCGACCAACAGATTTGGGACGTCCGCAGCAAGATCGGTGGAGGTGTGGGCCCATAAAGAGTACCAGTAGTATTTGATGTTGCCAGGGTTGGAGGTACGGAATAGTGCTAATAACTCTTGTTGCAAGACACCCTCGGTTTTTAACACAGGATCATCCTTGCGCCCAGAAAGAGCAAAGGCAGGCGTCCTGGGAGGTGGAGTAGTACGTGGGAGGCTTTTCATTAAGATGATACCAGTCAATATTAGTTACGGATTACAGACTATTACAGACCTTGACAGACCTTGATTAAGTTTGATATCTTAATGATAATGGATATTAATGAAGGCGTTGCATTCCAACTTGCGATGCTATTTGTTCTGCATTTTCAACGATGAACGCGACGGTTGCGATAGCGTGTGATGTGATCATTGATCCCTCCGGGCCAATCAATAAGATTCGGTTGGAAGAGAAGTATACTCGGATTGGAATTATAATCGTGATGGTGAAATTCTGTAGATATGTGGTAGGACAGGACTAGCTGATCTGGCAAGCCGTTAAACAGGGTTATAAGTTTCTGGAGATGCCAGATTGCGGACGGACGTTTCCTGCTACACGGAATTTCGCCTAGTCAGACCTCAGAGGTGATACACTAGGTTGATGCATTAGTATTGTCTTCGCCGTAATGTACAACTAACTAACATGCCCAGAGGAGAAATATAGGGCCTTGGAGTTGCCGCAAAAGGATGGCCCGCCTTGCTGGTTCCAGACTGCATGAAATTTGAAGCTTCTGAAGCGCTGTGAGTAATCCGTTCACACTGCATCATGGGTCTTCCTTCCAGAGCAGTAACCAAACAATCTCTTATCGCAACGCACGAACTGTCTGCAGTCGAACCTGCATCTCAGAACCCTAGGACGTCGTGTAGCTTCCTTGCCTTGCTATTTTCAATGCCCCCTCCAACGATGAGAAGGTCTTGCAAAGGTAGCTGAGGATATCAAAAGTGCCGTACCATTGACAGAGGTGATAGAAGAATCTCGATCAACGAGGAGGGCATGTATCACTGACAGGACCTGCATACGACTCGCGCAGTGGCAACAAGAAAAAGTAGAACTGTCAATATGTATCTAGCATCAGATCCAAATATGTGTTGAGCACGAGAATCCGAATCATACGTAAACGTGCCCCTGCCATCCACCAAATTTTAAACACGAGTCTTTTGAAGCCGACCGATTACTTCCTCGAGACCAGTTCCTCAGGAAGGAATCCCTCCTGACTCGCGACGGACTCGCCTAGCTTGCGCTTCCGTGTATAGATCGCTCAGTAGTTGGATTTCGTCGATGACCCTTGAAGGCTGCTCGCCTTTGGCCACAGCTCGTAGACAGCTACTAGAGACAACATAAACCTTTTGATCAGGTAGTTTCGCCTCCGCAAGGTTTGCCTCCACATTGCGGCGAGTTTCGTCGACGAGCTGCTCTCTCGCAGCCATGTACAAGGTTGACCGTTGCGACCGATCGGCGTCTTCATCGTCACTTTCATACCCCATCTCCTTCACAATATTTCGAATATGTTGGTCTGCTTTGGAGCGGACGATGTAAGTGGGGATTTTGAAGCGCCTGCAATTGAGGAGAATAGCAATGTCGGTGTGGGTGAACCGATTGTCGAACAATACGACAATGCAATCAAAGACGTAGAGTCCCTGCGCGTTGAAATACTGCCAATCCGGGATCCTGATGGTCCCCGCTCCGGGAAGGTCGTACCAGACATGTTGGCACCGCTCATCAGGGTCTGGATATCTTCCCACCGTCAAGGTGGTCTCTGTGACCCCTGTCCGAGCGGCACCAGCTGCACGGTTACTCATACCGCGGAATGCGTTAACGAGTGAGGACTTTCCTCCGCCGGCCCTCCCAGCAACAGCGAAATGGAATAAATTCTCCTGATACTGAATTTTTGCTTGGGCAGCGAGAATTTCTTGAGGAGTGGGCGTTAATACAGGCTGGATGCCCTCTTTAAGCCGCTTTTCAGCGTCTTCCTTGGCTGCTGTAGCCTCGCGAACACTGTTCTCAGCTGCCTTTCTTGCCGCCTCTGATTGTGCGACAGGCTTGGTCGGTTTTCTTCTTTTCTTCTTCGGCCGCCCTCTGAAGACGCTCGGCGTTTTGCTTAAAAGCCTCTGCCGCTTTCTGAGCTCCTTCTAGAGCAGCTTGAGTACGCTGAACCTCTGCCTCAGCTTCTCGGGCCTTCTTCTTGGACTCCTCCGTGGCAAGTCGTGCAGCGCTTTCTGCAGCGAAACGAGCCGCATTCGTAGCTCTCTCGGCGTCAACCATGGCCCTCATTTGCTCCTGAGTTTTCTGCTGCGCAGCAGCCGCAGCCGTCATGGCTTCCTGCTGGAACTGCAGTGACATGCTTTGCATCGCTTGCATTGATTGCACGAGCTGTGCCACTTGCGCCTTCATACCGTCGAGATCCCGAGTGGCTCTATCCCGCTCTACCTCAGCCCACTTGCGTGCTTCGATTGCAGCATAGGTTGGATTGGGATCGCTGCGACGGGAACCGAATAATTTCGATGCTAGCCAGAAGCACCCTGTAACCACAGGGAGCCATGCCATTATTTGTCTGCGCAAAGTTATCAACGGTTGAGCAATCAAAAAAGAAAAGTCCATACGATAGTGTGCGAGTACTGGGAGATAACTGAGAAAAATCTTCGAATGAGTCGTTGTGCTGCCTTGAGAGGTCGGTGGAGGAAAGTGCCAGCGTGATATAGTTCAAATCCTCCAGATACTTAGCTCCGTGTTGGCCTCGCGGCCACTGCTCAAATTAGTAACCCTTACTTTGAGTTATAGGGTACTTGACCGCATTGCAGACGCGTTTTAGAAGGATACTCGTGCATGATCATCGCAAGCCAAAACGGAAACAGGAGCTTCTGCAGATCCAGCGACGATCATATTAGAAACGTTTCTGAACCGCGCGAAACGTTTAGGGTACAGAAGAAAGATCGAGACTTGACTTGGTTGTGCAAGTGCATGGAAGAGGGCGCACCACCTATCAGTTAAACTTTATGCCGACCAGCAAGAGTGAGTGCATAATTTGCGGTGGTTCGACTTGATTGACGAGTGCTTAATTTCCCGTTCTTCGCCTTAAGGCAGGAAACAGTTGACAGAGTCCATAGAGTGCCTCCAACTAGCAGAACGAGAATTGATCATGTTCGCCACTTGGAAATATTGTTAAGGACCTGTGTTTTGCGTACTTCAAGTTAGTATGTGACAATAGTTGGAATAGTACGTAAGTACTAACTTTGGACCATGTTAGAACAGTGGCACCGCCACACCAATAACTTCAAGCAGTCCGACCACGTGCAGGGTCAGCCAAGCTGGTCTGAATCTTGATTTCGATCATCATACCAAGATGAAGAGGGGCCCCTCTATGCTGGAGAGCCTGAGGCTGACCGGAGTGACTCTTGGCTACTTCGAGGTCAGACCGTTTCCTTTGAAGTCACCGTTCACATTACCAGCACACCACCTCTACACAGAGCGTGTCATCCACTCCTTTCGCAGTCGAGTTTGCTGTCCTCTTTAACATCGCAATTTGTACATATCTGGGTTCTATTACTTGCCATGACCATCACTCCACAAACCGCCCCTGTTGCTCGCGCCATCCATGATCACACACGGTGTCAACCTGACTTCAGCGGTACGACCCTCTGTATTGGAGACATCGTTACAATCATTGGTGAGTTATTCTCTACGATGAAATAGAACCTTCATCATACGCGCATTGCAGTTATCAGTACTATTTTTATCCTCGCACTCTCGTGTATGTTCTGGACATGGCGGATGTTTCATCGTCGTGCCATCGTTGATCAGGAGCAAGGTAAGGTCTTGTCGGAGACTAGTATAATTAAACTCGAGGGACTAAGCTTTATCCACACCTCTTAACTCCTAGTTTCATCTAATCGCGATCCCTACAACGTGGTCTCATCTTCGCTGGACAACTCTGTTCTCGTGAGAAAGGATATCGTGCGCGAACCGTGCAAGCCGACGCAAGCCAAAACAGCTGGACCTGACGTCTTCTGGTCACCACAGGCCAAACTGCCCGAACTCAAGTTTCATCTCGATCCTCTACCTGCCATGGAAGAAATGACAGGAATGAGAAACAACTTTACTATTCACCCATTTTCTTGCCACTTTCCATCGTCACCCTCTCCCCGTTCCAGCTTAGTGTGTTCGAACCCGTCTCTGTTGCGGTCACAGTCCTTTGAGAGTACGACACACCTCACTACGCGGAGCGGCAGCCCGAAGTTGAACATGATATCAGATAGTGCCTGTTCTGAAAACGGTGGCGAAATCTTGCTTGGCGAAGGAGTTCCAGCTGTACCCGTGACAGATAGAGTGTGAAGTTCGCATAAGGGTCCTGAACTTGTGGATGACGGATACGGGTCGGGTGGGTTGCTGTGTGGAGCTATGAGATGAAGTTGCTCTTACAGTACTCCCATTTTTTGTTCGAAGCACCTGTCTGTGTCATAATTGCGGTCTTCCGCGATCAGGAGTATAATATGTGGCAACAGGAGTTGACAGCAAGATAGATCGCAGTCGCATGCTGTCACGCTAAATGCGCCACCTGAGCTTACGGGGAATGGCATAGTGTCATTCAAAACACTTCACTGGTTACGCAGCATTTTGAGCACATTCACATCGTGTGAAGCCAGAGATTGATGGAGTGGGAATGTGTCCATCCTATTAACGAAATTCTATTAGTAATCCTAACCACATTTGAGAGTGCATGTATGACGCCACCTTAAAGTGAGCATGTGAGATGTTATCCTGTGCCAGGTGTACCGGATGGCAGCACTCTCGACGAAGGTAGATTGAACTGCAAGGGTCCGTTGTAACCACGACAGAAAGTAATTAACATGGCAAAAATATCGCAGTGATAGCCCATCAGTGGATAATACAAGGAATCATAAAAACTGGGTATATTGAAGGCCGGGACAGTCATCCAGATTAAATATTACTAAGCATGCTGAGATCATTTGTATCGTGGAGGTCGGGGATTGCCCGGGAGGATCTTGGTGCTGCCGTCAAAAGGGTTAAAAATATAGAACATGAACAGAGAATACCGGATATATGAGTACCACCGTATCACCCAGTAGGTTGGGGCGTGCCTTGCCGACGCGCACGCAGTCACTCGCCAATCGAGTACTTGCTTAACCTGGCCACCATCCCGGCGATAACTATTAGCGTCTATATTTCGCGTCTATAAAGATGACACCGTAATTGGAGTCCTACCTCTTTAGCACTCCCATGCCAGAGTTTTCAGACACTATTATCAGGCTCTTTGACGGTCTCGAGAAGAGAGAGGCCACCGGCGAGGTTCGTTTTCAGTCTTACGACTGACATGTGCTAAACTCGCCCGTCTACATCATAGGGTGGTTTACTTACTGGTTCTGATCCATCGGCTTTCGATGTTTCGGACCCGCTGAGGTTATGGATCATTCAAGTTGGTGCGTATGGCATATGTGCTCATTTCTTGGCATGATCTCAGTCCAACCCAGGTGTCATTATAATGATGGCACAGTTGCTTTCTCTGGGCTTGGGCAGGATGAAGCAACCAAAAGTTATCGCCGAGGTTCTTGGCGGCATCCTTCTGGGTTAGTAATCTTCTTACCTCCTTAAATGTTTATCTGACGTACAAGTCTAGGCCCAACGGCCTTTGGACGTATACCCGGCTTTACCCAACATATATTCCCTTCCCAGTCACTGCCATACCTATCTCTCGTCGCTAATATTGGCCTTTGCCTGTTTCTCTTCATCGTTGGTCTCGAAATCGACGCCAGTGTCATCAAGCGCAATGCTCGCATGTCAGTTATTGTATCGCTCGCAGGCATGGCTTTACCCTTTGGCCTCGGGTCTGCGTTGTCTATTCCCTTATACCACCAATTCGTCGACCCATCCGTCCAGTTCACGTATTTCATGCTGTTCACCGGCGTCGCATATTCTATAACCGCTTTCCCCGTACTGTGTCGTATTCTTACCGAGCTCAAGCTCTTGGATACCACTGTTGGCATTATTGTCCTCTCAGCTGGCGTAGGCAATGATGTCGTGGGTTGGACTCTCCTGGCGCTGAGTGTAGCGCTTGTTAATGCTGGTTCCGGTCTTACTGCCCTATGGGTGCTACTTTCATGCGTGGCATTCACAATATTTCTCTTGTTGGTCGTCAAGAGAGCAATGCTCTGGCTTGCCAGAGCCACGGGCAGTACAAACGATGGTCCTACCATGTTTTACATGACTGTTGTCATGATCTTGCTTTGGGCGTGTGCATTCTTTACGGATAGCGTGGGCGTCAATGCGATTTTTGGTGGGTGCTGGTCTTTTGTCATCTAATTTTCAGTTTGTCATTGCGTGTAGGTGCATTCCTAGCCGGTATTATTGTACCGAGGGAGGGCGGTCTCGCCATTGCTTTGACGGAGAAGCTGGAAGATATGGTCACCATTGTATTTCTGCCTTTGGTATGTTCATCTTACTTCTCTCCTGCCTGGTCATTCATGCATTGCAGTATTTTACCTACTCAGGGCTGAACACTAATCTTGGACTCCTTGATGACGGTCGGTCATCTAAGACGCCTTGTTTTATTTATTTTTCTTATATAGTTTTGTATGTTGCAGGTATCACTTGGGCTTTTACAATTGCCATCATATGCCTTGCATTCTTGGGCAAGTTTGGTGGATGTACAATTGCCTCAAGGTTGTCTGGTTTCAGCTGGCGTGAAGCCAGTACAATTGGAGCACTCATGAGCTGTAAGGGGTAAGTATCCAAATTACTTTGGTGTTCTCGTCTACTAAATTGTGTTTCCTAGTCTCGTAGAGTTGATCGTGCTTAATGTCGGTCTCTCCGCTGGCATTTTGTCTCAGAAAGTTTTTTCCATGTTTGTGCTAGAAGCTTTGACGCTCACGTTCATGACCACCCCACTCGTCACAGCATTGTATCCTCCAGAACGGCGTGTTATCGCCACTTCAGGCGGAGCTCCGCCCCAGATTCGCGACGAGGAGGGTGATGCAGACAAGAAATCTCTTGTGAACGAGGAACAGCCCTGGCGGTATCGCTTTACCGTCGTTCTCGACAAACTCGAACATATGCCATCCATAATGGCCCTCACGCAGCTCGCCCGTCCTCCTGTACCGGATTTCTCCTCGCTCACTACCGCTGTGTCCATGTCTGCTGCATCTGACCCAGCCCCGTTGAAGTACAAGATGCCCGAAGTGAGCATCAGTGCACTCCGCCTCATCGAGCTCTCGGATCGTCCGTCGGCGGTGATGAAATCATCCACTACAGATACGCTTATCCATACCGATCCGCTCCTGGGCATATTCCGCATGTTTGGAGAACTGAATGATTTGCTCGTGTCGACATCGCTCACCATCGTGCCGCATGACGATCTTGCTTACAACGTTGTGGATCACGCCAAGCGAAATGCATCCCAGCTCATACTGCTCCCGTGGTTGCCACCTTGCGCTGGGACTGCTGAAACAAGCGAAGGCGCAACGCCACGGCGAGAAAAGTTGGACCACAACCCTTTCGAGGCTATTTTCGGCACATCAAGAGATAAATCTACATCTACCGTCCACTCGCAGTTTGTACGTGGGGTATTCGCACAAAGTCGGACAGATGTCGCCCTGTTTGTCGATCCTGGAAATCATATCAACACGTGTGCGGGGACAGGCGGCTCGTATCACGTCTTTTTCCCGTTCTTTGGCGGTCCTGATGACCGCCTTGCGCTGGAATTTGTGGTGCAGCTCTGTGCGAACCCAAAGATCAATGCAACGGTGGTGAAGATGGAAAAAGCGCGAGATTGAAAACACTCCAATCGAGCGGCCTCTTACGGCCCACTCCGATATCAAAGCTGATACTGACTTTCTCGCACTTCCTCATCAACATGGATTGACGACATCATCAGTGAGCGCCACTACTTTCTCCACATGAACCGAATAACATTTTCATCATGGATTACGCAGATAGTAGGATTCCCAGACACTGTCTACGGGCAACCCAACACCGAAATGCGTATGCAGTCTGAAACAGCCGACAGCATAACCTGGTCACGATATGCGGGCCGCAATCTATCAGATTCGGATATACCTGGGCCGTTGCGTGTTGCACTTTCGCGGATCAATTTCACAAACCTTGCATCCCCTGTCCCGCTGCACGCTGCGATCCAGCGCGCATCAATGTGTCAGCGGGTGTTGGTTGTCGCTGGACGGTCGAAGCGATTGGCAGTGGAGAACCATCATGCTGAGTTGAAAGATCTGGTGGAGGAGTATAGGGTGGTAGGGCATGAGGTGACAAGTAAGACGATCGGGGATGTGGCAACTGCGTTCATGGTGTCTGGGTGTGCGACTGCGATGGTTGTGCTGCAGGCTGCGAATGTGGGGTTGGAGTAGTTGGGGCATGAGTAGTGTTATTTGGAACGGCATTCAACAGAGTATACCTCAGGTGCTGCTAATTTTCCATGGAAGATGTGTACATTTTAGAACGGGACTCGACGAAACCATATTAACCATACCTGAACATTCGTTGCATGGTGTTGCTCTATATCTATCTCATGACTTACTGTAGTCAATGTGCACACTATAGACAAGTAATAGCGCACCAGGAGTAACAATCAAGGACGAACAGGAACTTACACATTTGTTAGGGCACACGGGCAACCATGAAAGTAGATATACAAGACAGGTTCAACTACGCGTGCGTTCTGTTATTTGCAGCGAAACGCGCAACTTTGTCGGTCGCTAGAGTCGTTCAACGCTATCGATTTACCACACGCAGGCGGACGCACGCGTCGCAAGTTCGTCGTTGAAGGCGGCAGCGGAGAACCATCATGCTAGAGTTGAGGGTAGCCGAACGAGGGAAACGAACGGTGTTGGTTGGAGTTGATTGCACGAGTCAGCAGTACACCGAATTTTAACTAGAACGGAACGTTGACGTAAGAATCAGCCGTCCATCAGGGCAAAGACGATCATGAAAGCAGAAATACAAAGAGACAACAACCGGGACGAAAAGGTATACCACAGATATCATATCATGCCTTGCTCTTCTTTTTATCCTTGTCTTTCTTGTCTTTTTTCTTTTCTTTTTTCTCAAAGGTGCCATTCTGAAGAAGGAAAGTTAGTCGAGACCGCGATTATTTGACAAATTCCAGCGTACGTCAGGAGCAGCAGCAGCCTCAGCCTTACGCGCTGCCTTGGCTGCCTTTTTTAAAGCCTTCTTTTCCTCCTTGGACAACTTCACCTTTTTCTCCGCAGGCTCTTCGTCCGCTTCATCCACATCCATATTATCTCTCGACCTCTTCTTTTTCTTGTCCTTCTTAGGCGTGACTTCAATCAAGGGTAATATAGGCTCTGCATCATCCATCTGAGCGTCTGGCTTATCCTCCATATCCTCATCCTCGTCGTCCTCCAAGTCCAGTGCGAGACTGTCGAGGACTTTGCGGATGGCATCGACATTCTTGGTCGGTGGTGCCCCGGTCTCGAAGAAGTTAAGACGTTCTTCGACTTGTGTGCGGAGGGCCTCGCCGAATTTTGCGGATGGGTTATCTGGGTGTTTTTAGTAAGGGGTAAGTGGATGGAGGTGTGGTGGAGTTACCCGAGTAGCAGTCTATCCGGGAGGCAATAGAGCATTTGTTTGCGAGGAACCGGGATATTCGGCCTTTGTGCTTAGGGTCTGCACGGCCGATAAAGGAGGAGTGATATAGCAGACCGTACTGTATTGGAAAAAATTAGCTTGATTGGCGCTTGGGATGGAGTAGCGAACCTTGGGGGTGTTGCCCTTGGTTTTTAATGCTCGGAACAACGCCTTCTCTGCGCCAAGGATCTGCACGGTACTGGCAGGATACTTGCTCAGATTTGTCAAGCTACCCGCATGGCTGATCAGCCGTGCGCCTATCCGCTCTCCCAACAACGCAGTAAGAGATGGAGCGACGAGGTTCATTTTCTCGCTTAAGTAGTTAACGAGGGATTTGCGGTAGTCAGCAATGGAAACGACACGGGCTGCGAATGCGGAGATGTTAAGCATGTCGATTTCCGATATGGATGAGCCCATCGAGCCGCGGGCGGCGTCGAGGATATTTTGTGCGAGGGTGGAGTCGTCCTCCAAGAGGATAGCGAGCTCGGGCAATTTTTCCTCTGTCAAAGTTTCCTTGTCGCCTATGAACTGTGCGATGCGGGCGTATTGGTAGTTGTCTGGGACAAGCTTGACGAGTTCGGGGAAGTGATAGCCGTACCACTCTCGTATGCGCATGGCGAACAAGTTGACGTCCTTATCGAGCTGGTCGAGGAGGGCGATGGCTTGTATGATCATGTTGTCCACACGGTTGACGTTGAACTTCAATTTAGCGCGGGAGTACGAGTGGCCCAGACCGAGTTGGGCTTTGATGAGGTCGGTAGCGTCGAGGCCCTTAAGAAGCTTTGGTGCATGGAAGCGGATGCCACGAAGGACTTCCTGGGAGGTTTCAGAGGCGTCACACTTTATGGCGAGGTTTTCGAAGATGGAGTTTGCGAGTCCGACTTCTGAGACTGCGAGGACTATCTTGGAGCCCTTCTTAGGCTTCGAAAGGTTAAGCTCGAGGAGGGATTTGAGATGATCACTGAGAATGCCTAGAGATCATTGATATTTCTGCGAGCACGAGGAATGGGTCCAGTGATACGTACCTTCTGATATATCGTTTATGTTCTCAAGAGCGTCCGCTGCATTTTTGAATGGCGAGAAACTGACGAGAGTGACCATTTTACCGAATTTTGAGAGGTCATTGATGGAGTCCTGGACTGCTTTGACATGTGAGCCAATGTTTTCATGGAGTTTTATATCGAAGATGGCGTATCCCGATGCTGACTCGAAGAGTGCGTGCGTCGCCATCGTGGCTTGTGCTGAGCTCGTTGTTGAGGTCGTCGAACAGCGACTGAAATTTTGGATCGGCATGTCCCGAATATTTATTATGTAAACGCCATATACGAATTTCGCATCCCACCAAACCACATCGGCTTTGAGTAAGGTAGGGCTACTACAAAATCGACCAACATCACGTGACAAATGTATTGAAAGCGTGACAGAATTGCAAACTGATGAAGGCTCTAGGATAACATGAAGGAGAGAAAATCGGAAACCTGTGAATGATGGAGCACATTATGTAGTACAGTTCACAGGGACCCGATCCATTAAAAAGTGTATGTAGTGTAACTTATGGACATTAGATGGGATTGTGGCATTTATCGAAGTAAGTTTGCCAAGAACTTTGCACCGCCGTTGGCCGGCAATTACGTTCCACCTCATCCGGTTCCATTACCCTCACCAAGATGGCTCCGCGCAGCAAGAGGAACCGCGCGAGCATTGCGAATCTTCAATGCTGACGTCAAGAGCCGGGTCTACACGAAACGAACAAAGAGAACCAAAACTTGAGCGTGAGTTTAATGTTACCTTTTTGTGGCATGCTTCGGAGCGCTGATTCCCAAGTCTCCTGGAAGAACACTGCCTCGTGCGGCACTTCAAGCTAATCATCTTGCCGAAGTTTCACTGTGAACTCAACTTCATCGAACAGTGTTGGGGATATGCTAAAAGACTTTACCGATTATATCCACCCACCAAGAAGGACGAAGAGATGGAAACCAATGTTCATAAGGCACTGAACTCTGTTCCCATTGAGTGCATGTGTCGGTAAGTATTGCTGCTGATGTTCGAGAATCGAAAGAGTCAAACTCACACAGTAATAGGTTTTCGAACCGGTCCTTACGGTTTCTAGACGCATATCGGAAAGGTCTGAACGGAAAGCAAGCAGCATGGGCAAACAGGAAATATCGAGGTCACCGCACTCTTCCGGACAGTATTTTACAAGAACTCGGTGACAACCAGATCACATAGACTTCGGAATAATATAGTTAATAGCTAAATAGTACATACACTCGACACCTTGCTACTTACATCTAATACATCCAATCTCCTTGCACGGCCGGTGGCACTGCCCATGCGTCAACGTTGCAATCGTCGTGCCTTGCATCTCGTCAGCTGTCACACCATGTCACGATTGGTTGATTTTGTAGTAGCCCTACCTTAAGGGAGTGGGAAACGGTGGCGGATTGATGGTGGATGCAATCTTGACGCTGGCCACTGCTGACTACCATTAGCAGTACCTCTGTACTGTTCTCTGGACATTCACCATGGAGATAGACGATGATGAAACACCCTGTCAACACGGTCGGACTACTGGTGAATGTCATGGGTTGTCCTTGCCATCGCCATCACTAGAGCCATCTTCCTCGAGCTCGGCATCACGGGGATCCACGCCCAAGCCTTCGGCACCGCAGTCCCTCAAAATGCTGAAGCGTAAGGCTGCCTCTACCAGTGACACACGAAGGATTCGTGACTACCAGCGACGAAGCAGGCCAGAGCTTCAATCCACGCGACGACGCCAAATCTTTACAACTCCCTTCCAGAATAATTCCTCACAGGACAGGCTTCATTGCAGAGAGCCTGCCACCCAGTTCTATCACGGAAGTCGCGCAGATCGTTTCGCGCTTATTCAACGAGGCGCATCCCGAGTCACCACTTTCTGAGTATGACTCTGAAGAAGATGAATTCGAGGCACCTGGTAAGTGCACAAATCTATCATGTCGTTAATTCTTTATATAAGCTTCCTTTAGTAGCGAGACTCCCATTTACACCAAGGGGACCCTCGGAACCTGGATCTCGCTTTAGCTACCTGAAATCGCATCCCTCGACATCTGTGGAAGATGACGCCAGATTACTTACGGCTCCACTTCAGCTTTCCAAACGCGGGCCAAAAGCCCATATCCCACCTCGTAAGCGAAGGCGCAATATTGCCACTCAGTCATGTCTCAATTGTCACACTTCCAAACACGAGGTTTAGAGCCCCCCCTCTCCCTACCTGCCCACTCTGATGTCTCACCAGTGTGATGGAAAACAGCCATGCCAGTGTTGTGTACTACTCGGCTTAGTACGTGCATATATTACATCCCTACCCAATGTTTATCCCTCGTTTCTCTAGGTCGGTCTTTGTATCTATGAGACCGATGGCTTAGCACTGACGTTTGTGTTTCTTTGGTATTGTGTCATTATTGAGCTTATCCCATAACTCAGGGATGATCCGACGATCGATGAACTAACTACGAGGGAAAGAATCGCAGAGCTGGAAAGTGAGTTGCATGATGCATATAGCGATTTACACTATCATAATTCTTTTGCAGCACCCTTACCTGTCAGGTCCGCAACAGGGAAACCGCATTATCTCTGGGCTGATGGAAGTGGAGATCCATCTCATCCACGCGTAGCTATCCTGACGTTCGTATATTTCTGGCAGTGTACCTCGGTTGAGCTTATTTCGTGACTCAGGGATGACCCCACAATCGCTCGTTTGAGTGACAGAATTACAGAACTGAAAGAGCTTTCACAGAGTTCATCAGACAGCTTTTCATCTCCGGATTCACCACCGACGCAAGCGTCCCGTTCTTGTGGGTTTTCTACCTAGTTCTTGTGTTTGACATCATTTTAATACAGTTTAAAGTGAAAATTCATCATATGTCTAGCCCTGAGGCTCGTTATACTTCTGGTTCATATTCTCAGCCTGCATATTCGGTTGCCTTGAGCTCGGTGTCACAAGCTTCCACTCAGAATTTGGTACCGCAGGTACAGTCCCGAACGAGCACAGCGGGCAACGCCCATTCTCCTCGTCACACGCACGGAAGCATCGGAGAGTCCATGACCGCATACGCGAAAGAAGAAAGCGAAAGCTTTGATCTACGTGCTGGCCCTAGCTCGTGTGAACCCGATCCGTCTACCTCAAGCTCAGTGTCACAGGCCTCCGCGGGATCGGCGCTACATCTTCACTGGCAGCTACTTTCGTATCATGTAGCTCAACCTGACCTATTTCTTTACTTCGACGTGGCTTCCCCAATCCACGACATCGAGTACAGACGGAACTCGTCATACAGTGTCCAACAGATACCCCTGTGTAACGCCAATCTTGACAAGCCAGCTGCAGACAAAGAATTGACCAATATGACCATCAACTTTCAGCGCAATCCCTTGCAATGGAATATCAACGTAAAGCGTGATGAAGGCATTCGCGTTCGTGATGTTTTCGAGGCGATCTATTCAGCTTTTGACATACCGCTTACACCTCACGAGAAGAGCTTGATCCCGCCCCGCCTCCGTGTGGGGTGCGAGGAGGCATTTAGGCTTCGCTGCAACCTTGCGCCGGTGCTTCCGATCGTGCAGAAAAGCCAAGGCTGGAAGCGTGTAGACGCACTTCTGCATGAAACCCTCTTCCGCGGCCTGACTCAGTCAAAGTCGGGAGGAGATTGGACATTGAATCTCAGCTGGACAATGCTCAGAACCAAACAGGATAGCAATATAATGGACAGGGAGCGTCTAATGTCGGATTCCATTGCGCTTCACTATTGGAAGGATCTCATGTTGGCTGCTCCAATCGCCCGTTACTGGTGGAAGAATCTAATGGGGGATGATTTTGTTGTACGTCAAAATTCGTTCGTCGACATTTAGGTAGCTGACAGGCTGTCATCGTCTTAGAAGCCTGGCCTTGAAATAACCGCATCATATTCACCTCTTCCGCAATCCGGTTCTCTTATCGTGCGTATCCGCTCTCCATCCCATGCGCTTGTTGCACATTGATCGTATCTTTGATTGATTACAGGAGTACCTACCGCCGTACCCCGACCAAAATCCCAACGCGTTACCAAATCGCTTCAATAACGATTTGTTCTATCTGCCTGTAATACTATGTAACCTGCTCGCTTTCGTTGACTGACCCTGATCATCAGCTTTCTGCTGCCTTTGTACCTAGGACAGGTATGGACAGTGATGTAATGGTATGAGTTACGTATCTTGCATTTTGCCTGCCCGTTCATGATGAACTCTCAAGCTCCCCCTGCGGAGTGCTTGCAGGATCTGTAATTTCACGCGGTCGAGTGCGATCCTCCAACATTGGACCTTGTGCAATCTACTGAACAATATTCCCCCATTGATCCCGGAACCTTCAAGTCAAGACTATACTTGGGCCTTCTTTTGTAGATTTGTACCCCTCTGTGCTTTATTTGACTCGCCCGCTCGAGGCCCACTACCGATGATACAACTAGGCAGTGATCGTGCTCGCCTGATTGACAGGCTCGAACGTGACCTCGAGAATCCTAAGAATACTATGTCGTGGCTACACGCACCTCCTGGCGCTGGAAAGTCTGTCATTGCATACACTCTTGCCAGTCGTTGCAGGCAGAAGCATAGATTGGCAGGCAGTTTCTTCTTCTCTTGTAGGCACGCAAACTGCAGAAGTGCGCGTTCTGTTGTGCTCTCACTTGCATATCAACTTGGCCTTTCTCAACCGCAGGCGAAGGAGAAAATAATTGCGGCCCTAGAGAGTGATCCTGGTATAATTTCTCCTTCTCGCGATCTGCGCGAGCAATTTGCCCGGCTCCTCATTGAACCTTTGGAGGCGCTTGATTGGCGCTCTCCTTCGAGGGTGTCCATCATCGATGCTATGGATCGATGTCAAGACCACGTATCCGAACTCATATCGCTCCTTACTCGACTTCTCTCTCATCTGGTTGACGTGGGTCTTCACATCTTCTTCACAAGCCGTGACCATGCAGAAGGCGTCTTGATCAAGCGCCATCTCTTGCCAAAGATATCGGACGTTGCTCTGGATCGCAGTGATGCCGCTCAGGACATTGAGTATTTCCTTCGCCAATCTTTTGATAAGATACACAGGCGTCATCGTCTTCGATGTCGCAAGCCGTGGCCACCGGACGAAATTTTCGACCTTCTTGTGGATAGAGTTGGACCCCATTTCATTACAGGATCGCTTATCGTCAAATTTGTGGAGAGCCCTGATCACGATCCCACAGATAGAATGGATCTCATTTATCCTCTTCTGCTCAACCCCTCGTCGCCTTCAGAGTTGTTAGTGAATGACTTCTATAAATCTATCATCTTCACAGCCGACGACCTGGATCAAGCCTACCTTCATCTCACGATTATTGCAAATCTTGCTAGCATGCTGTCGTGTTCGCAGCTGGATATCCTTCTTAACCGAGGGCCAAACCAGACATTTGACACGCGTTCCGTGTTGTCCCCATTGTCACCTCTGGTTCACATCCCGGATGGTCACAACAGCGCTGTGCAAGTCTGTCATGAATCCCTTTGCGATTTCCTGTCTGACCGTCCGCGCTGCGGAAAGCACTTCATTTCTGAAGCTGTGGTTCATCGCATGCTTGCTTACTCTTCTTTGAGTATCATGATAGAGGAGTTACCAAATGACAGTGCTCTCTGTTCCCGTTTATCCCAGTTAGCGACAGAAAGCAGCACCACGTCACTTGGTGGCTTCAATAACGGGGACGTTCTGTGCTTTGCGGTGTTTTCACCTCCAGAGCCTCTACCGTTCTTGTCTACGCTCTGGCACATCATGCAACATCAATATACAGGACTCAAGCCTGATTCTCGCACAAAATTAGCTCTGGAATATTTCTGCTGTACCTGGCAGATTTTGCAGCACCTCGGCTTGTCTACTGTTGACACCCTGCCTGTCTCCCGCTTCCTAGCAAATTTCCAATCTCTACCTGTACTCCTGGCCTTTCCAATATTTTTGGCTTTTGAAGCCCCCGGAAATGGCGAAGCTCTGAGCTCATCCACTCTGAAGCACAACCCTCCCGTAGAATCATTGGATGCAGTGGCCAAAATCGTGAATGATGTGCATGCCCTCAAGGCTCAGTGCAGATCGGACCCGGGTGCACTTGATTATGCTTGCACTCATTGGGCGTATCATCTTTCCTTGGCAGAGTGGGATGACAACCTCCGCACTATTTTGAGGGCCTTCATGAGACAGAAGCTCCAGCAATGGCTCGTGAAAACATGGTGTCTCCAGAATTTTGAGACCTGTATTCGAACGTTACGCGAAGTTTGGGAGCTTTGCTTGACAGTTAATCCGCCTCTATTTGATTCTGACATGCAAGATACCGATATGAATTTGAAAGCTGAGGAGGAGGCTGAAGGAGCTGAAGTGGCGAGGCAGGGTATAAATGAAGCGGCAGGGTCTGTTAAGCTGACATGCCCCGCCGAGCGTATTATGAAAACAGCAGTCGCAGAAACAGATGCGGCAAGGAAGGTCTATGTCTACCCACCTGAAGCTCATATCTCCAATGCGGATGTTTCGGAATTGTTCCAACAGAACTGTGATTTCCCAGGTCAGTTCGCTATCATTTGCAGATTTCCCTTTTCACGCTTACAATTTATAACTAGGATCATCGTTCTGGGGTACGTCCAGTACTGCCTACGAGCCCATCCTACAACCACTCATCCCAGACATGTCTCTTGAGGAGCTAGCCCCATCAATCTCTTCAACCAGACTCAATAAACCACCGTCTATCCTTGTTACGCAGGTTAACCAAACGAGCAAAGTAAAGTGCACGTGGCCCGGGTGCTTGATATTCGTCAACAAGGATAATCTTACTCGCCACGTCTCAGAGGTGCATGAGAGGAAGGTTAAGGCTATTTGTGCCCACTGCGGAAAGGAATTCCGCCGCTCGTATCAGTTGAATCAGCATATCCGTCAGTCTACATGTGGAAGTTCCTAGACTGTTATCTTGTAGAACAAGGTGGTCGCGATCGTGTTATCATAGCTTGTAACTTTGTGTTCACCGTCTTCATCTCATTCTCGATGATGTATTACCAGCCATTCTGTTGTAGCAGATAGCCGAGTGCTAGTCCGGCAAACGTCCTGTTCCCCCCTGATACTAAGTCGTCATCCATAGGGTCTTCGGGTTCTTCACTGACAGTGCCCAAACAGTGCCTAATGATCAAATGCATTGCGATATTTTATAAGTATCTACCATCTTCACAAAGATTTTTTTATGACAAGAAGTTCTCAGCGTAGAAGTACGCAACACCCTACAGCAGAATTACAAATGATTGCTCATTAAAATCAATGGCCTGTACATCATTCAGAATGTCTATGCATGATTCTAAACCCTCCAAGTACCACTGTCTTTCAAACCACGACAGTAGCTTGTCCCGCCAAAAGGCGCGCAGAAATGTGCGCAGACGTTCATCCACGACCGTCGTTTCCCGAGAGAGATACAAACCCCAATACTGGCAGGCATGTTTGAGGGCTGGTGAACTAGACAAGTTTCGCTTGCTTCCTCCCGTACGTATTGGATGAAGTGCTTAAGCGCCGGAGGCATATTTGGCTTGTCATCAGACCCATCTATCGAATTGATAATATGGGAGGCGGGAGGGTGAGCGTGACGAATTGCCAAGAGTATTACGATGATCAACATTTTTGGTAGAGCTTGTAATGTTGACAAAAGTTCGAACACGTGTAAGTCGCGAAATTCAGGTTTCGCTTGGAATTCTTTCAGTGCCGACTGAGCCTTTGATATGTCCTCATACACATTACAGTGCTTGACTACTAGGCGGAACGCAGCAAGGAGTGCCAGTCCCTGACGGCGCATATTCACGATACCATGCGGCCGCATATATGGCCTTGTTGCATGGCGGTGCCAAACAAAACTCAAGGAAAACCATCAAAATCTGCGCGGATGTTAACGTGAGGATAGCATGTATTTGTGATATAGGTACGAACATTATCTGATTGTGGATCTGCAATAGGTGTCTTCGTCAGTGGCACTATTCGTTGTAGCTCATCCTTGAGAACGGACTGGCGGAATGAACTTTTCATCATCCGCAGACTGGACCGTGCAAGGAGCTGAGATGCACATGACGAAGATGAATGCCGGGAGAGAAACTCGCGAAGTGACTCCATGTGGAGAACCTCGACAGGGCGAGAATCGTCAGCAGGGACGCTGACTATTGGGGATAATGACACGAGAATGGTACGGTAAATCGCTTTCTGAAGATCCTAGGAGCTTCCGCAAGTGCAGAATTTCTAATGGTTTGGCGAGATTGACCACCGTGGATAGATGCCGGTATGCACGGGTTGGATTTTCTGAGGAGTTGATGACGAACTCGTAGAACCGGAATATTTGGGTGGGATGTAGATACGCATCACCAGGATCCTTCATAAGGTTGATTTTTTCATCCAAATTGCATGGCACTTCGTCGTCGTCGTCGTCGTCGTGGGTCTCGAGAAATCTCATCATCATCGATACAGTTCCGAACCGACCGTTTGCCTTGTCAGCGAGACAGAGGATTATCTCATCGTCGGACTCTAATTCAGGGCATTCGAGGCCGTGAATTCTATAGCTCCTCTCCAGAGCGTGCTTGAAGAGGAGACAAACGTCTTCAGCAACATCAACATCATCGAGAGTGATGTGATGTATCGACTCCTCGCAGCCAATGGCTTCGAATGCATCGTCAATAGTGTGAAGAGGACGACTAGTGATGACGATGTGCAAGTGTGGGATATCTGGCTGGTGGAGGAGGCTTGAAAGACGTAAAATGAGCTCGTGGATGCGTTCTTCTTCGCATGCGTCAATCGCGTCAATTACAAGGACCTTCGGTTCCGACCACGAGAACCGCAAATTTTGTAACGGCTTAACCAGCAGTTCTTGGATTTGATCAGCAAGCGGCTTCCTTGGATCAAGGATAAGAGGGTCGGATGTGATGGATCGGACCATCGTGTCTTTAGCCAGCTGTGTACTTTTCGAAATTTGGTAGGCCAAGGTAGGCACAAAGAAATCAAGGCTGGTTATACCTGGCATATCCTTATGTTGGCGGCTAAAGAAAAACGTGCCAGCCAATTTCGACTTGATTTTGAGGCGGCTGGCGATTGTATGAGCAATCGCAGATTTCCCTGTCCCGGGAGAGCCAGAAAGCCAAATCAGCGTACTGTTGCCTGCTGCAGAGTTGTCTCGATTTTTTCTAAGATTTTCGTGCAGGTGCCATCTAGGCATTCGGGTTTATCCCGAGGGCCCCGATTGCGACAATCATATAATGCATCGTAGACAACGACCGCACACAAGGATTCGAAGGTCTTCTCCGCGCTGGCGGTGTCAGCTACCACGGGGCGAGCAGCGCTGTATTTCATGATGCAGGGGAAAGGCGAGAGAATCGACTACCTGCAATCTAGTCAGTGATTAAATCGTGGTAGAATGTATACATTATCCTTAACTGGAAGTTCTATCCACCGTCAGATGGACAAAGATCAGATCTCAAACGATGCGTCCAGTTCACGAAGGGCGCTAAATCGTGCAGACGGTCGATATTGTCAGATTTCAAGTGAAGGAGATTGGATACTCACTCGAGAGCTCTGAAACCCTCAAACAACGGGCAATACAGCTTATGGGATCGAATGGGGTTTGGGAGCTGCCAGCTATGGGACGTATGAACACAGCAGAACTTCCATGTACAACAGTTAAGTTACTTCGCTATCTCGCTGTTTCTGAATCTCTGAGTAAAGGTGGCGAAATCTGATGTTGTGCAGTTTGTATGAACTGATAACAGTGATCAAGAATTTTTCGCGTGCTGCTGCGCAGAGTAGGGGAAGCCGTGGATACATACACTGATACAGCAATGAGTCGACGATATGCTTGGGCTACCAGCGCTTACTGACTGTGGGAGTAAATCACGTATTAATATTATTATGTACTACATGGTGGGCAGGCCAGAGGCCTGACCGGGACTGGTTGACCCGTCAAGCCTGATTAACGATTCCTTGCTCTGTATTGATTCAGTGCTATCGGTGGTGAGGATGATTAGTATCGGGCCTCGGCAACGTACTGATTTTGCAGTCATATAATCGGCAGACACAAACTTGGAGTTATCATGAGGCGTAAGGGCGGTTGAGTTCATGGTACCCTGTTATCATTCGGACCTTTCGAATGATGACAAGGGTAGATACCGGTTTGAACCTTGAACTATACTTGTGGTTACCACGGTCACGTGGACCAGTATATGGCTTCCGAACCTTCTCACTGTGCTCTGATAATCCTCCTGTTACGGGTACGCTCTAGACGATTCGATGGTCTTAAAATGATCATCGGCCGAATGTCGGCTGGCACTTGGAGAGAGAGAAGCTTTTCAGTGTTGACAGCAACTTCGGCAGCCCCGCAGGTGACCGGTTGACCTCAGGAAGCTTGACTGAACATGATGACAGTATCAATCAAAATAACCAACTTGCGGGTGCTCATGCAATGCGTCATCACACACTTTTCAGTACGTGTACAGGTTCATGGGTTGAGGTGCAATTATATGATGACACTATATATAATCATGCGAGATCGCCGGACCAGGAGAATTTTAGGCGCTGCCGGGCTGTACCACTCCGCTAGACTTCAATTTATCCGACATTATTTATTCACCCCTATTAGTGCAGTTGCTGTTGTCCTTTGCAGGTCGCGATCATCTCGGTGACGACTCACGGGGTATGCGGCCTTGCTGTGGGATATTTATAGGGTCTACTATCATTCTTGGACAGAAGGCCACTGATATAATCTGTGAGGCTATCTCACTGCAATGTGTCTCATTTGACGAACAATATACTGCGGTGTTGCGCTTCCAGACCTTTCGGTATCTCTGATTTTCCCCGCGCCTGATGCATCCAAGAAGGGTAGGGCAATTCATAAAATCGCCTCGTTACACCATGACCTGAAGCTAATCTTCGATTCTTGCAAGGAGGCATACGGCCCGGCTCTTGCCTGTGAAATGATGGACAATGACACCAAGCTCTCAGCGATAACTGGTTTTATGGCAGTTGCCGAATTTGATCCTCTGTCTACGACATATGTGGAAACGCATGTACTTCAATGTCTGTCAATGACGAGTCTTGGTCGAGTATCACAAGAACGTGAGATTTCAATTACACCCCGTAACCTGCCAGTAAGGTTTCACCGTGATCAATCCAATCTCCCTAAATACGAGGGGCTTGATAGGGCCCATAGGATGTGATATAGGTCGGCTATGTTCAATTGCACGCCGCCCATGCGGGAGGTTTCAGAAAATCCTACATGGAGCAAGGCAATAGCTAGTTCCGCCTGTTCCGTTTTCCCTAAATGTCGTGGAGCTGCGAATCTAAATTTTTTTGCAGTCCTCGCTCCAAGGCGTCTAAGTCCTGGCGCTAGCGCTTCTCACATTGTATCGGGATAGCGGTGTACGAATGCGTGCCTCGGCGTTGAGGATCAAGAACCATATGCATAGCTATACAGCTTTGAAATTAGTGACCTGCTCTGTAACAGCCCCAGCACCGCACACCCTTTCCTCGGAATCTTGCTGTGTGGTCATTAATTCATTAGGCGCCAAGGCGTTCCTGGAATGGCAGGTGGGGGGTACTTCCGCTGGGTGATTCTGGACAAGTGCTATGTGCTAAGATGCTGACGTACCCACAACACATGTTGAGCGAAGCTGACATGGTTTATCTTTTGTCTGATTCCAACACGCGTAAGCACAACATGCTGTTTAAGCCTGTTAAGGAGCCTCGTGGACATGATTAGCTATAGTAACATTTTGTTGGATATATACCATTTTTGGAAGTACTTACGCCCTGCTGCCTCGTGGTAGTACTATGGAACGCCGTTATATTTCTCGCCCCTTGCAAAGCCGCTCGTGGTTTGCCAGCTTCTTGTGTCTTTCTTGGTCCATATAAGACGCAGGGACTGACTGCGCGAACCCCCGGTGGGACTTCGGAGGCTTACTCTGCACATTTCTTCTGTCTACTAGTTCACTGGCAGGTATGTTATTCATCATCCACTCAGTGGCAAAGCGTACACATGGTATAACACGTTGCATGATGATCTTCAGCCCTCGCCCCCCACGCATCTTGAAATCTGCCACAAGACTTTCGCCTCCATTTGCAACTGTAACGACCTTCATCATGATGTATAAAACGAAACACGACCTAGGGAGTCCTAATTTCAATCTCAACACTCCCAAGATACCCTCCAAGGCGCTTCCACAGTCGCCACCACTTATGTCCCCTCATTCTTTTAACATGGACGAGCACCGTTCGTTCACAATGCGCAAGCCCTCTCTTCCAAGCTCGAATTCACGAGCGCCCACGCCCAAGCCTTCAACACCACAGCCCCTCAAGTCTATCCTGAAGGGCAAGACTTCCCCTCCTCGTGATTCATATGATAGCGATGGAGAAGTCACGGCCGCCAAGAAGAGTTCGCGGAATAATGTCTACACAGTGCCAAACTCTCTTCCGCAACATGCGCACTTGGGTGAGTCCTTGGTCCAGCTCATGCTCTCTTTTCACCATTACGTACCTTATCTGATCTTTGACCTGATAAAGGTCCTATGAAGGGCCCTGCGCTAAATCTTCACTGGAAACTGCTCCCCTACCATCCAAATCGATCAAAACGATTTCTTCACTTCGATATTGCTTTCCCAACTCACGATATCGAATTCAGGCAGAACTCGTCTTATGGTGTCCAACGAACAAGCCTGTCTGATGCCGACCTTGATAAGTCGGCCGCCGACGAGAAGCTGGTCAAGATGACCATCAACTTCCAACGAGGTCCGTTCGAGTGGGATATCGATGTGAAGCGTGATAAAGGCATTCGTGTTCGCGATGTCTTTGAGGCGATATATGCAGCTTTCGACCTACCGCTCACACCTCATGAGAAAGGTTTAATCCCGCACCATCGCCGTGCGGTATATGAAGAGGCATTCAGGCTTCGCTGCAAGCTAGCACCAGGGCTTCCTATCGTCGAGCAGCGCCAAGGTTGGAAGCGCGTAGACATGCTTCTGCACGAGACCCTCTTCCGTGGTCTCACGCAGCCGAAGTCAGGAGGAGACTGGGTATTGAATCTCAGCGGGTCGGTGCCCGTATCCAAACACTGAAGAACCTCACGATCATTGCATAGTTTTCTCTCTCTCACTGTATTCTTGGTGAGCACCTTCACATGACATAGCGAGCTTTGAACTGATGGCCGTCTTCATGCAGAACTGGACTCAGCATTTCAGCCACGCTCATTTGGCTTCATCGCATCGTATCAACTCTCGCTCTTCGATTACCAACACCCCTCAACATTCTGTCCCTTTTTAATTTTGATCATATTTCTAAAAGTGTTATGACCTATCCTACTCATATGTCGCAGCCTTCTCGCTGCCTGGTTCATAGTGGCGTCAACCTAGAGGGAAGACGCTCTCTACTCTGTACTTTCTTGCGAACCTGGTTTCCTTGTCTTCTGGACTATGTTCAAGGATCGATTTGTCCCGATCAAGGATACCAAGTTACTACTGTTCACAAGTGTACCTCACGTTCGTATCTCCTTCCATCTCGCAGACACTATCCCTCGCAGTGGAAGAAATAAAGTATCTGTTTTATGTGTCGAAACAGACGGTGTCTTCTAACAGCCATCCGTGGAGGACGGAAAAGTACCAAATTCCAGTCAAGACTACATAGCACACTCTCACGACTTAGAGAACCTCAGCGAACAAGATGGAAGGCCTCACAAAGAATCACGGACCAAACATGGGTCGTAAATCAGTCACGTTTGACAGGTAGGGTGCGATTGGGCTGATGATCGATGCGTCGTGGTGTTCTGAATAGGGACTAGTGAACGCAAGCTCTGTCTCCATCAAATTTCCATACCTCCAGCCTCATGCAGATGGAGGGTGCGCCAGGTAACCGGATGTGAATTCAATAGGAGGGCAAGATCTTTGCTCCAGTGATAACGGGGAAGTCTGGGAACGGGGAATTCATTTCAACGTTTAATAAAAGACTGATGTTAGAATTTGGAAGGGCGATTGCCTTGCTCCGCCATCACAACGAGTAGCTCACTATTTTTTTAGATGCAAGGCCAAAGCCCCCGAATGGGGTTCCACATCTATCCGATACATGGTTCACCGCCGATCAGTGTTGTGCACCTATGAATTCCTCGTGCCAGGCAAGCGCCAAAAGATTGAATTGGTGGCACGCGCATGTGACCAAATATTCATGGATGTGGAGCTC